AGCCAGGATGTTGGGGGGGGAAGAACCCCAAAAGAAATACAAGCGGTAACTATGAACCTAACTGAATGCAAATGAACTACAAATCACAAACTAATTACAATGAACAATACAACCGATTGAAGCGGATAAGGAAAAAAAGAACAAAGTCAATATAACTTTGGAACACAGTATTTTAACTATATATACTAAGATTAAATTATATTTGTTTAGCAATTGTGAAACTATGAGTATGCGAGGATTGAATAAGTAAAATAAAGCAAGCGGGACTGGTGGGATAAACACTGTGACACTGGCCTGCAATCAGAGGTATCGGTATGAATTCATGGTCATTCTCACGTGGGCAGGTGTGTGCCTGCATATACCTCCTAGCTCCGTCTGCAGAGATGCCCTAGAGGCACCGATGCCCCAGAAGCACCGAGGCCCCAGCAGTAGAAGGATACTTAGTGCTCAGACCTTGGGTTCTAAATACTATTCTCCAATAAAAGGAATTGGGGTTCCTTGAATTCCTGGGCTGGATCAAGACAAATCAAGTTGAGCCTGGAGACCCCCTGTGATGCTAGAAAGTAAAGAAGTGCATGAAAAGCCACAGGGACATGAAAGGCCACAGGAAGGGTTCCCAATGGCCAAATATGGAACAACCTGAGTAATGAAAAATGATAGCAGTGGGTTGTAACCCATAGAAGATAATGTCCGTGAGTCCGTTCTAATGAAAATAAATAATTAAATAAATGAGTTAATCGGGGAGAAGGGACAGTTCTTCCTTTCGGAATTCCATAAATAGTGTGGAAAGAAAGACGAGAATTACCACTAGACAAACACCACAGTCATAATTGCTTCAAGCAATAACCATGAATGGATGATAAAACTAGTGGGCAAGAGTATGAAAACCACAGCACTTACATACTCTCACAGTATCTTACTTTAAGGTAGTTATTCAGTATAAAGGGAAAAATATGGTAACTTACAGTGAAGAAATCTGGTTGACCCCACCTTAGCCATGTGACCAAACTCAGCATCCCCAGTAACAAGCCATACCGACATCAGGAGTCTCCTGACAGGACGCACCGAGGAGGGCACAACATCACTTCTGTGGTATTCTTGCCAAAGAGGCATTACCCGGATTTAATTGTGAAGAAAAATAAGAAAAAAAAATACAAAGTGAGGTGCATTTAAAACAAATGTCCAGTGCTCTGTCGAAGTCACAAATGACAAAGACAGAATGAGGAAATGTCCCAAATTAAAGGACACTAAGACATGGCAACTTAATGCAATGTGGGATCTTGCTTCCCCCTTAAAAAAACACTAATGGGGGGCGCCTGGGTGGCTCAGTGGGTTAAAGCCTCTGCCTTCAGCTCAGGTCATGATCCCAGGGTCCTGGGATGGAGCCCCGCATGGGGTTCTCTGCTCAGCAGGGAGCCTGCTTCCCCCTCTTTCTGCCTGCCTCTCTGCCTACTTGTGATATCTCTCTCTCTCTCTCTGTGTCAAATTAATAAATAAAATCTTTAAAAAAAAAAACTTAAATGAGGTTTGTAGATTATCAAAGTTAATTTTCTGGGTTTTATCATTGTATTGTGGTCAAAGGTAACATTTGGGAAGCTGAATGAAGGGTATATGGGAACCCTTTGGATTACTTTTGACACTTTTTTTGTGAATCTGAAATTATAATTATTTTTATAAATTTTTAAAATATTTTATTTATTTGACAGACGGAGATCACAAGTAGGCAGAGAGGCAGGCAGAGAGAGAGGAGGAAGCAGGCTCCCTGCTGAGCAGAGAGCCGGATGCGGGGCTCGATCCTAGGACCCCGGGATCACAACCTGAGCTGAAGGCAGAGGCTTTAACCCACTGAGCCACCCAGGCGCCCCTATTTTATAATTATTTTTAAAGGTAAAGTTTAATATAGTGCAAAAGTACTATGATGAACACTTTTGTTATTAAAATCCAGCATGCTTGGGGCGCCTGGGTGGCTCAATCAGTTAAGTGTCTGACTCTTGATTTCTGCTCAGGTCATGATCTCAGGGCGGCTGGGATCCAGCCCTCTGCCAGTCTTGGTGCTCAGCACTGAGTCTGCTCGTCCCCCTCCCTCTGCTCCTCATCGTGCTTACACACACACCCTCTGTATAGCTCTAAAATAAATAAATAAGATAGTTAAAAAATAATCCAGCAAACTTGTCAAGAGTAAATGACGAAGCTTGAGGAGTAGGCAGGGTCAAATCACGTCAGGACTCCATAGCCATGGTAAGGGATTTAGGACTTTAATCTTCAGAGCAATGAGAAATGACTGGAGGGTTTTAAGAAGTGGTTGGGAGTGGGTGAGTTTATCAGTGAGGGTCCCAGCAGGAAGCAGATGGCCCACCCGAAATATGATAATTTGAGGCAGATTTATTTACAGGAGACTATAAAAGTATGGGTATAGGGAACCATCCAATTAAAGCCAACAGGTGCGTGGGTAGAGCAAGAAAAGGGAACTCAGGCTGACAACGAGTGGTTAGTCAAAGAGGGTAAAATCATGGAAATAAGAGAATAAAGGAGGGAGGTAATTAACAATGTCCACGAATGAGATTAGAGCTGAAAAATGGTCTTTGGGTATAGTCACGTGGTCAATCTGTGACTTTGGTGAAAATGGTCTCAATGAAACAGTAATGGAGAGGGGCCCACCAGACTGAGAGATAATGACAAAACAGAGAAAACCCTTTTGATATGTTTGGCTGTGGTGTGGAAGGGAAACGTAGGACACACATCATTCTCTAAGATATCTCTAAGATATCAACATATCTCTAAGATAATTTCCAATTATCCACTGTGAAATCAGGTGGAACCATGGGAACGCCTTTAACAAATTCTCCAAAGCAATACAACTACAAAGAACGGCTCTTCGTGGGTTTTATGTTTATCTATAAAATGACTCAGTTAACAAATCATAATCAAACAAAAATGTTCAACCTTAGTGCCCAAACAGCACCTGTTTTCCAAATCCAAACATGTTGACCAAAAAACCAGAAAGTTTCTTAAGGTCACAAGTTGCAATGATTTTTGACATTTTCATTTGAGAGCACTAAGGCCTGATTTAGGGGAAAGAAAATGTGATAGCATTTCTAGTGCCTCAAGTATATGTCTAGACATAAAATAAAAGTTTTTAAAGATTTTATTCATTTGACAGACAGAGAGAGCATAAGCAGAGGGAGTGGCAGGGAGAGGGAGAAAAGGGCTCCCCACTGAGCAGGGAGCCTGACCTGGGGCTCCATCCCAGGGTCCTGGGATCATGACCTGAGCCGGATGCAGACGCTCAACCCACTGAGCCACCCAGGTGCTCCGTAAAATAAAAGATTTAAAGACAATTCTTTTGTGTTGCTTTGTCTTCAGGAAAAATATAGAACACACAAACACAGCGATGTTTTATACACCTGGATGGCACTGATTTTCCCCAGAACATAGCAACTTTGGGAAAAAATCAACGCTTTCGTAACAACTGCCGTTGCTTTTTATTCTAGTCTCTTAATCAGGCTAGTTTCTAGAATCCTGCTTCCAGAAGGTTCCTCCAGGTTCCCAGGGGGGTTTTGCGTGTTTGTGCTGGGTGCTAGATCCTACTGTTCCTTGCAAAAATTTTGGGGAAAGCTATACCCCTTGATCTCTCTCATCACCACCAGCCTTGCCAGTGACCCTTCCTACCATCATTCATAGCTACTGCTAAGTGCTGAAAGTTTTGCTCTCCTAATCTGTAGCCCTTTGAGCCAACCTTAAATGGTCAAGCAGTTTTTAGAATTACAGTCCCACTGAGCAATCTGACTTCCTTCATGACTATAGCAAGGCGGTCAAGGTCACTGCCCAGCTTCCCATGGTTGTTCCCCTCACCCCAAATTAAGACTGCCTGCAAATTCACCTTCTTGCTCTCTGAGCCTTGTTCTTTTCCATTCTAAGGCAGGCTTACATTTGTTTGCTGGACCATTAGTCATAAAGTCTCCATCATTATCTCTTGCAGGGCAGTCTTAAGAACCCGGAGTTCCTGAGGGAAGGTTTGCAGATGAAACTCCCCAGCATAGCCCTACTCGCTAGATTACCGCTTTTCAAAAGCTGTTAGTTCTCAGAATTAAAAGTTTTCGGCTGGGCAATCCTCATTCCACAAGTACACACTTAAAACAATTTGTAGTATCTTTTTGAACCTATTTCTCCTGAAATTTAGTTGAAATTGGCCTGAAAGATCAAATTAGATTATACACAGAGGCATGAAATTTTCATCTCTTCATTCCATTGGAAGTCAAGTGAAACACAGTAGTTATTACTGAATCACCCTGAAATTACATCACTTAAGAATGTATTTTTAATAACTGAAAGTGTTTTTTTTCTCTAAAATAAATACACTTGTTTGGGGGGACTACTTTTTAACCAATTCCATTACATTGTTCTTAGATTACTCTTTTACACCAACACTTTATTTTTTTAACAGATAGAATGAGGAAGCTTTGTTTTGGTAATAAAACTACTAGAATTCAGACTAAGAGTCTAACTTTTAAATGGAGGCCAATGGAAGCTCCTAATTTTTAGCCCCCTAATCACACCATAGCAACTGAAGTTATAATTCCTTTCTTAATTCTTTAAATTTCAGTTTCCTCCCCTGAAATGCTGCTGAGAACAAGTACATGACAAACTAAGGTGGCTGGGAAGTCTTTGCCTACCTAACTCTAACAGACACTGACAAAGGAATACAGCAAACATGAGTGTAAATGGGAAAAATGATAAGAAGTAAAAAGCTGACCTTCAACCTGGGTCACATGTATTCAATCCGTGTTTGTTTGTCACACTGGGTCAATGGCCTCTATGAATGTCTCTATAGAGAGCATCTGGACTTTCAGAAAAAGCCAGGGATTCACATACTTCAAGAAGCATAAAAGTACATTTCAAGTCAGTCCCTTCAATTATAAAAATGTTAGCTGAAGAAGAAATTTCCATAACCGAATTTTTAATTGAGTTTTAAAAAGTCCTTTCTACTTAAAAAAAAAAAAAAAAGTCACAATAAAACATTTATGGAACTGTATAGAAGTATGCCCGACATTATCCGGACTTCTTGATTTTAATGTCTGAATCCAAATGTAGTATATATTTAACAATCCATTTGCTTTCCAACAAAGTAAAATTTAAAGGAAAAAATGCATTTTATTCTCCCATATATAAGAGGAATAAAACTGTATTTGGTTTTCGTATGTCAGAAGCCTGTCTTTAGCTAAAACCCGATAAAGAACATAGATAATGCAGATTCCTCTAAATGAAAACCCATTTCAGCATATACGTATGTGCACACACGCTGGATGAATATATATAATCCGTCAAGTCAAGTCAAGTATATATACCCTATTAATAAAACAAAGGCTGAGGAATTTAAATGCCTAGATTACACAATACCTTGCCAAAAGTTTTTATCCACAGAATCATCCTTTGAAAGTGGCCATTAGATGAAACAACCAAAACTTTTATCCAAGGTTTTAGCCCTTTTTGTTGACTTTCTTTTCTTCACAATCCACTCACAAAAGACAAAGTGTGTATTTTCACATATGTAAACATGAGACTTTCAAGCCGTATTATACATAGTCCTTCGAAGCCATTCATTTCTTCAGCTCTTCCTGCACACCCGGGTTGATGGAGTCTTTATCATGGAGCTCCTCTGTTTCCCCCCTGAAAACAAACCCAGCAGGCACCGGGGGCTCCTGTCCAATGGATTTCACAGCATGAGCTGCATAGTTCAGGCTTGTATTTTCACTCCAACGCCAGTAACCTGAGAAGGGGTTGTAGAGCATTCCTGCCACCGTGTGAACTGACAGACCGTCTGAAGAAAACAATCAGAAAGAGTAGATTTTGTTAAGTAATTACTTTCCAAATGCCAAGACTCTAATGTGACTATATTTAAAACAGGATTCCTAAGCAACATGGTGGGTAAAGGGGGTAGGAGAAGAGTAAATGACACAAGATGGGATTGAGAGGGAGACAAACCATAAGTGACTCTTATTCTCACAAAACAAACTGAGGGTTGATGGGGGGAGGGGGGTTGGGAGAGGGAGGTGGGGTTATGGACACTGGGGAGGGTATGTGCTATGGTGAGTGCTGTGAAATGTGTAAACCTGGCGATTCACAGACCTGTACCCCTGGGGATAAAAATATATTTTATGTTTAAAAAAAATAAAATTAAAAAAAAAAAAACAAAAAAAAAACCAGGATTCCTGTCTCAGGGCACCTGGGTGGCTCAGTCATCAGGTGTCTGCCTTTGGCTCAGGTCATGATCCCAGGGTTCTGGGATGGAGCCCCATATCGGGCTCCCTGCTCAGCGGGAAGCCTGCTTCTCCCTCTCCCAGCCCCCCCTGCTTGTGCTCCCTCTCTCACTATGCCTCTCTCTATCAAATAAATAAATTAAATAAAAAAAAAAAAGATTCCTGACTCGATGGAAAAAAAATACTGTGTAACCAAGTACATATCATTCTTTACTATGGCACAGAACAGAAACTCTAAATCAAATTGCTTGGGTTCAAATCCCAACCTGGCACCTATTAGATGGTGATCAGAGTCAAGTCACTTAACCTGTCTGAATCTCAATGTTCTCACACGTACAGAACATACAGTCCTAGAGTTGTTAGAATTAGATATGCGTATAAAGTAGCACAATGCTTAGAATTTGGTAAGTACTGAGTAAATATAAGCTTTTATTAGGAAATATCTGCCCCCCCAAGATATTTAAATCTGAAAAAATAAATATTTAAATCTGAAAAAAATTTAAATCTGAAAAAAAAGAGAGACTATCTGCCAACAAGTGATCATTCCTATCAAGCATCTTACAGTACTTTCTCCTACTCTGTTTTCAGCAATATCACTTGCAGAAATCTTCAGAACCTCCTCCATTGCCTTGGATTGATACTATTTCAATACTCCAAATCAAGTTTACTGATATACTGTGATGTGAAAAAAAGCCCGAGACACACATGAGTTAAGTACTCAGCAGGAGTACCAAACACCAACTACATGTTATGACCTGACAGGAACTCACCACATAAATCAAGAGCTCACAACATGTGAAGCACAGGCAGGCACTGCAGGGAGTACAAAAAAGAGACAGTCTGGCCTCCACAGAGCTGACAGACCAGAAAGGGGCTTAAAAACACCAAAAGAACCGTAATACAAGACGTGCTCTAAGTAGCATAAAATACATAAAAAGTGACAAGGAAGTTCAAAGTGTACCTGAGTACGGAGGAATCAGAAAAAATAATATGTAGGATAAGCTGATACACACAGGGCCTCCAGAGGACCAAGTGGGGATGTGTAAGTGACAGACATTTGCACCTCCTCCTTAAGCAAATAATGACTAAGCAGCCAAACAGTATTCACTGATCATCTGTGATTTGCATGGCCCTGGGTTAGGGGCCACAGGTGAGAGAGAGAAGTGGTACCTAATACCCATGCCTAACTTCAAGGAGTTTATAATCTAGCTGAGAGATGAAACCAACATCCAGAAAATAGTGGCCCATTTAATTAAGTGCCAGGTTGTGTGATTAATGATTGTAGATACATTAAACGTTCAGTAAGGCTGTGAAAACTGGAAACATTCTTAATACTTACTTGATTCCAGAATGCTCTCTAGCTTTTCGGGTGAAACGAACTTCTCCCATGTATGAGTACCTTTTGGTACAATACCTGCAATTTGCTCTGAAAAGACAATTCCCAAGGCATAAGATAGCTGTGTTTTGTTGATTGTAGTAACGAATAAAGAACCACCAGGCTAAAAAAAACCATACAGATAGAAGTACCATTTTAGATGTCAGGAGTATCAGGTAAAGGATTGGCTTCCCCCACCCTCCTCCTTCCTTCCAAATAATTTAAGTGCAATTAAGATACGTGAATATAAATAAAGTATAATTTACCAAAATAGTTTTTTTTTTCTTTTGGGAAATTCATTACTAAAGGCAGTCTCCTACAGGGGCACCTGGGTGGCTCAGTGGGTTAAGACTGCCTTCGGCTCAGGTCATGATCTCAGGGTCCTGGGATCATGCCCCGCATCTCCGCTCTCTGGCTCTCTGCTCAGCGGGGAGCCTGCTTCCCCCTCTCTCTCTGCCTGCCTCTCTGCCTACTTGTGATCTCTCTCTGTCAAATAAATAAATAATCTTAAAAAAAAAAAAGGCAGTCTACTACAGATGTACTCACTGGGTTTATGCAACAGTGCTTACAACTGTTAAACTCATACTACTGTGACATATTATAAACTTGCTTTTGCACATATCAGATACATATCAGATACTTTATAATAAAAATATAGAAATGGGATTGGGCTACTCCTTGTTACATGGCCACATTTCCAATCTCACATGTGTTGACACTGTTTTCTCTCTGGGTGCGAGCCTGTCTAACTTGTTCTGTGCAGCATACAGAGCCACATCTTGTGCTAATCAGTGTTGTCTGACAAAAACATTAATGGTTGTGGTTTGAATGTTTTTTTATTTTGTTTTGATTTCATTAGTATAAACAATATGAAGAGATCAAGATAAGCACTTACATGAATACAAACCATCTGTGAGACTATTTATTGAAAAAGATTTTATTTATTTATTTGACAGAGAGCGAGCGAGCTACAGAGGGAACACAAGCCTGAGGAGTGGGAGTGGGAGAAGCAGGCTTCCTACTCAATCCCAGGACCTGAGACCATGACCTGAGCCGAAGGCAGATGCTTAACAACTGAGCCACCCAGGCACCCCTTGTGAGACTCTTTAGTCTGCCATGTCTTTTTTTAAGATTTACTTATTTATTTGAGAAAGAGTGCACATGCACGAGCACTAGCACCAGTTGGGGGAAAGGTAAAGGGAAAGAGAGAGAATTTTCCAGCAGATTCCCCAAAGTTCGGAGCTAGTGGTGGAGCTTGATCTCATGACCCTGAGATCATGACCCAAGTGCAAACCAAGAGGTGGACAATGCAACAAACTGAGCCACCCCAGATGCCCCTAGTCTGACATTTTTTAGTGGCTACATTCATGGTGTTTCCTATATTTACTCCCACATATGGCAAAGATTAATGTCTCCTCCCTCTTCTACATATTCTCATCGGCCTGATGGGGATAAAATGCTTAAGAGTCCTTCTAATAATTGCGCGTGCACGTGTTTGTGTGTGTAGGGAGAGAGAAACTATATCTCAAATACCACCCCAAAACCAAAAAGAAAGATGAGACCCTGAAATACTGCAATGTGCCATTAAATTAAAAACTGAAATATAAGGTATTATTTTGTGATACACTGTAACTTTTCTAAAACTCTGGTGTTCTAAAATATCTTATTAAGAATCAGTAACATGTCAATTATATCTCAATAGAGCTTGGGGAAAAAAATCACTTATGGGTATCTCATCTATGTCCTACAAAATTTAAGGAAACAGTGGTGAGCAACAGTCGTTTTAATAATAGGCTTTCCATCAATGCAAAAATTAGTTTCAAATTCCACAATGCCACACACATTCCTAATATGTGTGAAAGAACCTCCATTCATACATACTGACACATAACACAAAAAGTAAAAATTAAGGAGTTTTGTTTGGCAAATAGAAGATAAGCCTAATAAAGCTCATTTAAAAGGAAACACCAAGGGGCGCCTGGGTGGCTCAGTGGATTAAGCCGCTGCCTTTGGCTCAGGTCATGATCTCAGGGTCCTGGGATCAAGCCCCTCGTCGAGCTCTCTGCTCAGCGGGGAGCCTGCTTCCCCCTCTTTCTCTGCCTGCCTCTCTGCCTACTTGTGATCTCTCTCTCTGTCAAATAAATAAATAAAATCTTAAAAAAAAAAAAAAAAAAAAAAGGAAACACCAAGACACTGTTATAGACTTAAGGAGACATGACAACTAAATCCAATGTAGAATCCAGGGTTGGATCCTGAACAGAAAAATGACATTAGTGGAAATACTGATGAAATTTAATCAGGTCTGTAGTGTAGTTAATAGCATAATGTCAATGTTAATTTCTCAGTTTTAAGAAATGCACAATGGGTTATGTACAGGGCTAGGACTATGAGGAGACAAGTGAGATGCCTAAGGAACAAAACTGAGGGAAGTGCTCACTTTCCGGACTGTGTAAATGCATGGTTGGCACCTAAGCCTGAGTGTCTCCTTCAGGTTTGTGCCGTACATGCTTCACTTGCCTCACCCTAGTTCCTATCTTTACTATGTGAAATGTTAACAGTAGGAGAAACTGGGGGAAGGACAGGTGGGAACATTCTGTACTATCTTTGTAATCTTCTCTAAAACTAAACTTATGTAAAAAGAAAAAGTATTTCTTTTTCTTTTTCTTTTTTTTTTAAAGATTCCATTTATTTATTTGACAGAGAGAGAGATCACAAGTAGGCAGAGAAGCAGGCAGAGGGGGAGGGGGAAGCAGGCCCCCCGCTGAGCAGAGAGCCCAATGTGGGGCTCGATCCCAGGACCCTGAGATCATGACCTGAGCCGAAGGCAGAGGCTTAACCCACTGAGCCACCCAGGCGCCCCAGAAAAAGTATTTCTAAAAAGCTCTATTTAGGTTAGGGCTAAACATTTCATTCTTCTAGCTCTTGACCTCAGGGTGTTACCTCTACATTAACAACACAGTCAATACAGTAATAATGATAACAACAACAATAATACTTTAGGAGATTTATTAAAAAAAAATTGGAACCACTTTCAGAGGACTAAGTCTATAATATAATGGGAAGAACGAGACTTGAAATCAAAAGGTGTGACCCTAAGCCCCACTTAAGTGCCTAGTGAACTTTGACATAAAGACCAAGTGACCTCTGGATTCGTTCGGAAGACGGTAGAGTTGGAGCTCACATCTACCCATGGAGAGACCAAGGCAACAACTACATATAATTGTTGGCTGAATGAAGATTGGCAGAAAAGCTCTTCCACAGCTGAAGACATAAAGAAAAAGCCACATGGAGAAAGGTAGGAGGGGCAGAGATGCGGCAGGGAACCAAACTCCTGACACAGCAACCTATAATTGGGAGGGCTATGACAGGCACAGAAGTCTACCGGAGGAGCCAGGGGCTCAAGCCCCACCTTGGGCCCCCCTGGTCCCAGGGACCTACACTGGGAAGATGAGCCCTCATACTGCCTGGCTTTGAAATTCAGAGGGGTTTAACTTTTCAGAGAGCCAGAAGGCTATCGGATACCAAGACTCTGCTCTTAAAGGGCAAGCACAATACCTCATTCAGGCTGACACCCAGCACAGAGAAAGCAGTTTAAAAAGCGCCAGGGTTTTACATGGAGATTTACTGACTAACTTTAGGGCATGTGTTGGAAAGTCAGGAATCTGTAGATTTCTTCAGCCATGGAAATACTGAAAGACGTCACTTTTCTTGTCCTTCTTCAGCCTAGTTGGTCAGATTTGTGGGAACTAGTTCTGACATTCTCCATCTATCTTGCTAACACCACTCACCTTGTCCTGGCATTCCCCTGTAGATCTACCTGCCCTGGAAATTGCCCGTGTAAAGCAACTCCTGCCACACCCAGCAGGGAGCCTTGGTCAGGATCAGCATTGCCCCAAAGCAACTACTGCCTACCACACCTAGTGGCAGCCCCAGCCAGGACTCGGGCCTCTCCAAAGCAACTCCTTCCTTGGAGAGAGGATGGGCAGCCCCACACACCAGCACATGGGCAGCAGCTGCAGCTGAGCCACTCTGACAGCATGGCTCCGTACACCAGTACACCTGCAGAAGTCACAGCGGGGCTGAAGGTCAGCCCTGCCCACCAGCGTGTGCCCAGTCACAACAGGAGGACACACACAGCCCATAGAGCAGAATGTCTGGTTCTGGTGACTGGGAAGATGGCACCCTAGAGCCCCACATGATGCCTCCTGACACAAGGCCACTACTTTCAAGACCAAGATACGTAGCTGACATACATGGAAACAAACACGGAAAATGGGGAGATAGAGGAATATGTTCCAAATGAAAGAACAAGCTAAAATTTTAGCAAAAAAAAAAAAAAAAAAAAAACCCACAAAAAAATAAACAAAATGGAAATAAGCAATCTACCTGATAAGGAGCTCAAAGTAATGGTAATAAAGATGCTCACCAGATTTGAGAAGAGTGGATGAACTCAGTTGAGAGTTCAAATCAAGAAAGAGACAGAACACATAAAAAAGAACAAATAGGACATGAAGAATACAATAACTGAAATGAAAAAATACACGAGGGAATCAACTGCACATTAGAAGATGCAGAAGAATACGTCAGCAATCGGGAATACAGGATACTAGAAAGCACCTAAGTTGACGAGAGGAGAGGGGAGGGGAGACTCTAACACCTATTCCACTTACATTATTGGTTAAGTCATCCAGACAGAAAATCAATAAGGAAATAGTTGCTTTGATTGACATATTAGACCAGACAGACTTAACAGGGAGATACAGAACATTTACATAAAAACAGCAGAAAACACATTCAAGCACTCAAGGAACATTCTTCAGGATGAATCTTGTTAGGCCACAAAACAAGAATCAATAATTTATTTTAAGATTCTATTTATTTATTTGAGAGAGATCATAAATGCGCAAGCCGGGGCTGGGGGGAAGGGCAGGAGGAGAGGGAGAAGCAGACTTCCTCCTGAGCAGAGAGCCCCACAAGTGGCTTGACCTCAGGACCCCTGAGATCATTACTTTGGCCAAAGGCAGATGCTTAACAGATGAAGCCACCCAAGTGCCCCAAGATTCCATACATTTCGGAATACTGAAATCATATCAAACATCTTTTCTGACCATAACAGAATGAAACTAAAAATCAATTACAAGAAAAAAAAACTGGAAAAAATGTGGAGTCTAAATAACATGCAACTGAACAACCAATGGGTCAACAAAGAAATCAGAGCAAATTAAAAGATACCTGGAGACATGAAAATGGAAACACAATGGTTCAAAATCTTTGGCATGAGGTAAAAGCAGTTCTTTTTTTTTTTTAAAGATTTTATTTATTTATTTGTCAGAGAGAGAGAGGGAGAGAGAGCAAGCACATGCAGACAGAATGGCAGGCAGAGGGAGAAGCAGGCTCCCTGATGAGCAAGGAGCCCGATGCGGGACTCGATCCCAGGACGCTGGGATCATGACCTGAGCCGAAGGCAGCTGCTTAACCAACTGAGCCACCCAGGCGTCCCGGTAAAAGCAGTTCTAAGAGGGAAGTTTATGACAATGGCTTACCTCAAAGAAGCAAGAAAAATTTCAAACAAGACAACCTAATCCTACACCTAAAGGAAAGAGGAAAAGAATAAACAAAGCCTAAAATCAGTAGAAGGAGGAAAATAATAAAGATCAGACCAGAAATAAATTAGAGACTAAGAAACAAGAGAAAAAAAAATCAATGAAACTACAGGTGGTTCTTTGAAAAGACAAACTAAATTGATAAACCTTTACCCAGACTCACCAAGAAAAAAGAGGGCCCAGATAAATGAAGGAGGGAAAGTTATAACCAGCAACACAGAAATAGAAAGGATTAGAAGAGACCACTATGAAAATTTAAATGCCAACAAACTGGACAACCCCATAGAAATGGATCAATACTAGAAGTGCACAATATTCTAAGACTGAATCAGGAAGAAATAGAAAATCTGAACATTATCAATTATTGGTAACAACTGAATTGGTAATCAAAAACCCCCAATAGAGGTGTCTGGGTGGCTCAGTGGGTTAAGCCTCTGCCTTTGGCTCAGGTCATGATCTCAGGGTCCTGGAATCAAGCCCCACACTGGGCTCTCTGCTCAGTGGGAAGCCTGCTTCCCCCTCTCTCTCTGCCTGCCTCTGCCTACTTGTGATCTCTCTCTCTGTGTCAAATAAATAAATAATCTAAAAAAAAACACCAAAATCCCTCAATAAACAAAAGTCCAGGATCAGATGGCTTTACAGGTGAATTCTACCAAATATTTAAAAAGTTAAAACCTATCTTTTTCAAACTATCCCAAAAGTAGAAGAGGAATAAATGCTTCCAAATTCCTTGAAAAGGGGCAGCATTACCCTGATACCAAAACCAGAAAAAACACTGCTAGAAAATAAACCAATATCCCAATAACTAAATTCAAGAATACTTTAAAAGGACCATTCACTAGGATCAAGTGGTATTTATTTCAGGGATGCAAGAATAGTTCAGTATCTGCAAATGAACAAACGTGATACAAGACATTAATGAAATGAAGGACAAAAATCATATGACCATCTCAATAGATCCAGGAAAAGTATTTGACCAAATTCAACATCTGTTCATGGTAAAAACTCTCAACAAAGTGGGTAAAGAGGGAAATACTTCAACGGAATAAAGGCCATAGATGAAAAATCCACAGCTAACATCATACTCAATGGTGGAAAGCTATAAGCTTTTCCTCTAAGATCAGGAACGAAATAAACTCAGTAAAGGTACAGGATACAAAATTAATACCCAGAAATGTTGCATTTCTATACACTAATAATGAGCTAGCAGAAAGAGAAATTAAGAAAGTAACTCCCATTTACAATCTTATCAACAAGAAGAATTAAATACCTAGGATTAAAGTTTACCAAGGAGGTAAAAGACCTAAATTCTGAATACTGAATACTGAAGACTAAATTCTGAATAAGACACTGACGAAAGAAATTGAAGATGATACAAATAAATGGAAAGATATACCATACTTAATGGATGGGAAGAATACTGTTAAAATGTCTACACTACAGAGTCAATGCAATCTCTAATACATTGCAATAGTATTTGTTACAGAACTAGAAGAAATAATTCTAAAATTTGTATGGAACCCCAAAAGACCCCAAATCTTGAGAAAGAATTAATTTGGAAGTATCACATCCAAATCCAAGATCTTGTAGTTTGTACTACAAACTACAGTAATTAAAACAGTGTGGTACAGGTACAAAAACAGATCAAAAGAACAGAATGGAAAGCCCAAAAATAAACCCACACTTATATGGTCAATTAATCTACAACAAAGGAGGTAAGATATACAATGGAAAGTAGTGTAGGGAAAATTAGACGGCTACATGTAAAAGAATGAAACTGGACCACTTTCTTACACTATATATAAAAATAAACTCAAAATGGATTAAAGACCTAAATCTAAGACCTGAAACCATAAACATCCTAAAAGAAAATATAGGCAGCAATCCCTTGGGCACCAGCCTTAGCAATATTTCTCTGGATCTGTTTCCTCAGACAAAAGAAATGAAAGCAACAATAAACAATTATGATTACATCAAACCAAAAACCTTTTGCACAGCGAGGGAAACCATCAACAAAACAAAAAGGCAACATACGAAATGGGAAACAATATTTGTAAATGATATAATTGATAAGAAGTTAATCTGCAAAATATATAAAGAACTCCTACAACAACACCAAAAACAAAAACAAAAACAAAAACAAAAACAAAAAAAAAAACTGATTAAAAAATGGCCAGAGGACCTGAATAGACATTTTCCAAAGAAGACATACAGATGGCCACCCGACCCAAGAGAAAATGCTTAACATCACTAATCATCAGAGAAATACAAATCAAAACCAAAATGAGATTTCACCTCACACCTGTCAGAATGGCTAGTATCAAAAAGACAAGAGATAACAAGTGAGGATGTGGAGGAAAAGGAATCCATGTGCACTCTTGGCGAGAATGTTAATTGGTACAGCCACTATGAAAAACAATATGGAGGTTCCTCAAAAAATTAAAATAGAAATACCACAGAATCCAGCAATTCCACTTTTGGGTATTTACCTAAAGAAAAGAAACATTAATCTGAAAAGATATGTACCTCATGGGGGGTTGTAAAATAAATAAATATATATATATATATATATATATATATATATATATATATATACACCTCTATGTTTACTGCAGCATTATCTACAATAGCCAAGACATGGAAGCAACCTAGGTGTCCATCAGTACATGAATAAAGATATGGTATATATAGACAATGGAATATTAGCTATTAAAAAAAAAGAATAAGATCTTAATATTTGCAACAACATGGATGGACATAGAGGGTATTATGCTAAGTGAAAGAAGTCAGAAAAAGACAAGTATCATATGACTGTACTTCCATGTGAAATAAAAAAAAAAACAAATAAACAAAAACTAGAAACACTCATAAATACAGAAAACAAACTGGGGTTGCCAGAAGAGAGGGGGGTAAGAGGCAAAATAGGTAAAAAGGATTAAAAGGTATAAATTTCCAGTTTTAGAACAAGTCGTGAAGATGAAAAATACAGCACAGAGAATGTAGTCAGTAATATTGTAATAACTTTTTATAGTGACAGATGGTAAGTACACTTATTGTGGTGAACATTTCATAACTCGATAATTGTCAGATCACTGCTATACGTCTGAAACTCATACAATATTGTATGTCAACTATACCTCAATTAAAAAAAAAAAAAACAAAAAAGGGGTGCCTGCATGGCGCAGTCAGTTAAGAGTCTGACTCTTGGTTTTAGCTCAGGTCATGATCTCAGTGTTGTGAGATCGAAGATTTTATTTATTTATTTGACAGCAAGAGATCACAAGTAGGCAGAGAGGCAGGCAGAGAGAGAGGGGGAAGCAGGCTCCCTGCCAAGCAGAGAGCCCGATGCAGGGCTCGATCCTAGGACCCGGAGATTATGACCTGAGCCGAAGGCAGAGGCCCACTGAGCCACCCAGGCATCCCATAAAATAAATATATAAATCTTAAAAAAAAAGGCCAAGTGACCTTTGACATCTCTCAAATTCTGATCTCCTTTGGGCCAAGTTGGTCACGACAGATACCTGCTTACCTTCCTCATCTGGTTGTAGGGAAAATCAGTAAGATCATATATATGAAATATTTCTCTATAAGCTGAAAACTGTTAAAAATATTACATACAGAGTTATTTAAGAAATGCTACCTAAGTCAATTTATACAATTAATAAAGATTTTAATTGTTTTTTAAGTATCAATCCAAATTAATTTCTTTTTTTTTTTTTTTAAGATTTTTTATTTATTTATTTGACAGAGATCACAAGTAGGCAGAGAGGCAGGCAGAGAGGGAGGAGGGAGCAGGCTCTCAGCAGAGCAGAAAGCCCAATGCGGGGCTCCATCCCAGGACCCTGGGATCATGACCTGAGCTGAAGGCAGAGGCTTTAACCCACTGAGCCACCAGGCGCCCCCCAAATCAATTTCTTAGTAATTGTCATTTGATATTTATTAGCTATTTAATCCAGAGTCCACCAATGGGGAAAAAACCCCTTTAAATCTATTGTTTATAATTATGTTCAGGACCAACACTTTTCAAGATTCTTGGATATCAAGATACTGTATCAAGAAAACCCCAGGACTGAGTGCAAGCTGAGAAGCAGAAATAATCCCCAGCAGAGATGTTATCCCCTAATCCTAGTTTACTGATTGCAAGTATTATGAAACACTTATTGCTGTGGATACATACACACATTCAGAAGAAACAAACAAACAAGTAAACCAGTAAGTCTTACTTTTAACACTTGATAGCAGCACTGTATAAATGTTTCTAGATCAATCACATGTTCTATAACTTCAGAAGCTACAACAGCATCAAATGTTTCTGCAGTCTCTTCCACAATCTCTTCCAGGGAACATGCTCTGTACTCTATCCTCTTTTCTAGCACTGGATCAAATGATTTATGGTGCTGTGCTGTCTTAATGTTCTCATCCACAGGATCGATTCCAATAACCGAAGCTCCAAGCCGCCCTAGAGGCTAATAGGATAAAATAATTGTTATCCTCAAGAAGAAAACAGAATACATGTTAGCAATAAAGAGCTTATTAAAAAGGAAACAAGATTAATAATGAGAGGATAATTATTGGATACTTATTGGGTACATCGAAGTTCATTATATCATTTCCTCTAGTTTGTACACATTTTACAATTACCATAATAAAAACTTAGGAGTGAACAATAGTCACAACAAAAAACTTATGAAGAACTATTTGAGAGAGTTCTGTATTTTATAGGTACACTTACACACACACAATAGAGTATTAACATCTCTGAAGTGCACAAAAGTTACCACGCAGTTATTGAAAGAAGACTATAAAACAGAGCTGCAGGTCATAAATATACTACAAGTGGAGGCAAATATTTTTTGCAGAAGGTGAATGAGTATTTTTCTAAGTACTCTAAAGTACCTAGGCCAGGGAGAACACCACAAGCAGGCAGTACTCGGTTAGGTTTTTGTACTGAAGCAAGTGCAAAAGAATGGCTTATCAGTGCATTTAAACCAGTGGAAACGGCCCAATCTCTTAGAAGAGACAACAAAATTTTCCGAGCTATTTCAAAGACCAGTGCCCAATTTTGTGCAAAAATAAACAAAAAACACCAAAAAAAATCCTCTATAATTTTCTAAAATATTTATATATTTTCTTAAGAAAGTAAAAATCATTTATTAGTTTTATGCTGATAAAAATAATAAGAACATTAGGCATTTCTTTTTTTTTTTTTTAAATAAACAATACTATTTGTTAAAAGGATAAATGAGTCGTAGGCCTACTTTTTCAAAATTTTTTTCACAGTTAAAAATGGCAGGAAAGTTGTAAACCACTTACTTCAGTTAACAATCCACCACCACAGCCAACATCAAGAATCTTCATCCCAGACAGAGGTTTTCCTGGCTGGTGATGAGCAACTGTTTTTAAAAGATTGTCTCTTTTTTAAAAATCCAAAACATACAAAAACAAATTATTAATTTTAATAATATATATAATATTTTTATTTATTTATTATTTTATTATTTTATTTATATAAACATTTTAATAATATATAATAAATATTAATAAAATCTTAAAAGTGTATAATTTTTGAGGATATATTAAACTCTCATTTTATTTTATTTTTTTTAGATTTTATTTATTTATTTGACAGACAGAGATCACAAGTAGGCAGAGAGGCAGGCAGAGAGAGAGGGGGAAGCAGGCTCCCTGCAGAGAAGAGAGCCCGATGCGGGGCTTGATCCCAAGACCCTGGGAATCATGACCCGAGCCGAAGGCAGAGGCTTTCACCCACTGAGCCACCCAGGCGCCCCTAAACTCTCATTTTAAATGGATTATTGATATTTGGGGGTAAATAGCTCTTTTCTTTTCAGCATTAAAGACTTTTTTTAACAATCAAAAGCAGGAAGGAGGTTTTAAGTAAAGCTTCTAAAATAAACTAGTAATAATTATATGTTAACTATTACTTCAGTAATAATCTAAAGAAAAACTTTAAAAACAATCTAGTTTAGATTCACCTAATTTTGTTTGCTTAAGATATCATGTTAGCTGAGGAATCTCTTAGCTACATTGTCAGTACTTGATAGACACATTTCATGTCAGCAACAAATAAGTTATTTTACAGGGCTTAGAAGCAGCATACTGGCGATCTATATTTTCAGATTTTGCCGAGATTCCCTTCTAAATTGATTCTCTTTTGATCTTCTAAGTTAATGGTGTTTTCATGATCATGTAAATAGGCATCCAAATCAAGTTAACTTAATTCTAAGATAATCATAGTAACACTCTACCACATACACAAACATAAGCACACACATATACACCTAGACATATATACCTAACAGCATTGTATACTACACTTTTAAGTTGAACTGTATATGAATTTTAATTATATTTATATTAAAATAAATGTTATATGGGGGCACCTGGGTGGCTCAGTCAGTTAAGCATCTGCTTTGGCTCAGGTCATGATCCCAGGGTTCCAGAATCAAGCCCCGTGTCGGGGAGCCTGCTTCTTCCCCTCACACCCATGCTCACTCTCTCTCTCAAATAAACTCTTTAAAAAGCAACAAAAATAAAATAAACATTACATATAATAAGGATACCTAAGGATATATTTTGTTTGTTTGTTTAAGTAGGCTCCACGCCCATCGTGGGGCTTGAATTTATGACCCTGAGATTAAGATCTGCATGCTCTAGTGACTGAACCAGCAGGTGCCTCTTTATCAAGACTGCCTGAAGGTCAAAGTGGGTATGAAATGACCTTGATGCCATAGGATCCTAGGTCCTTTTCATAAGAATTTAGTTCTAAGTAGCCTAAAATTGTCCAAAAATGCTTCAAATCAGTTAATAAAAGCAGCCTAGATTTTGAATAGCGTTATTTAAAAATTAATGGCTCAAACAATGGACATTAAAAAGTTTCTAATTTTTTTTTTTTAATTTTTATTTTAAGGAGGCTTCACATTCAATGTGGGGCTTGAACTCATGATCCTGAGATTAAGAGTCACATGCTCTACTGACTGAGCCAGCCAGCTGCCCCAGAATCTCTCTAATTTCTAAAGCAAACTTAAAATGCAGCATTTTGAACTTAGGTATAAATCAAGAGAAAAATAAACTCAAAAGAAGATAAATTATTGAAGAGTTACATTTTAAAATATTTAGAGTTTCTGGAATGTTACCTAATAAATGGCACCCTCAGGTCATTCATAGAATGAAGAGGTGCATATACTCCTTGTTCATCCCACCACCTATGAGCCAGGGCCACGAATGTTTTTATCTCACTGCTGTCTACAGTGGTTTGAGAAGTACTGTACAGTCTTGTCCAAGGGTACCTAAGGGATCAAAAGGAAGAGCCAGGCAAAAAGAGACATTTTAAAAAATGTAACATAGAATCTATTTATGTAGAAAGATACTCTAATTTACAATTTATTAGATTCTAAATGAATGGCTCATTTTCGATGCTTTAAAACCAGGTTTTCATAATCACACTGCAAATATATATATTCACAGATGGAACAGAGTTCCATTAAGAAAGTTAATTTGCTTTCAAAGTAAATTGCAACAGAAATGGGATGTTACAAGACTTGGCCTTCTGGGTCACATCTAATAGGAATGAAAATAATAACATAATAATAGGAACAGTAGTAGTAGAAGTAGAAATAGTAATAGTAACCACTTATTGTGCACTTACTAAATGTGGGTACTATTTAAGAACTCCGTATATGTCACGCGTCATCTTATTTCATTGTTCTGGCAACTCTATAAAGTAGGTTATATCGCAATCCCTATTACACAAGTAACAAAAGTGAGACTTAGATTAAGTAAATGCTAGAACCAGGATTTGAACCCAAGTGCCCCCATCTTCTCTTCATTTCTACTACTATCATCCTAGTCTAAGCTACAATCATCTCTTGGTTAAACTATTTATTGCACTAGCCTTCTAATTAGTCTGCCTGCTTCCTACCACATCTCCCTTCAATTATTTTCCCTACAATGCATCCACAGTGTCCCAAAATATAAATATGATCATGCTATTTTCCCACTTGAAATCCTTCCACGGTTTCCCACTGATATTAGGAAAAAAACTCAAAATCCTTAGCATGGCCTACAATGCTCTGAATTATTTGGTCCCCAATTTCTTCCCTCCTCAAATGCACTTTTTAACTACTCTCCTCATCCTCCCCATTCCAGCCCCACAGGCCTTCTTTCATTCCTTTGCACTGACCCCACATGCCCTTTTCTCAGGAACTTTGTACAGGTTGTTTCTTCTACCTGGACCATTCTTCTCACATTCCCTTCCCTCCTCTGCACACCTAATTCAATGCCATCTAAGAAGTCTTCCCTGACTCTCAAAACTGGGTTATAGCCCCTTATTTTAATTCCCACCTTGCATTTCTTCATGGAACAATGTGACAATTTGATCATGTCTCCCCACTAAACACTATGAGGGCAGGGTATGGACTATGTTATTTACCATTTTATTCCTAGTGACTAGCACAGTTCCTAGAACACAGTTGGTACTCGGGAAACGTGTCAAATGGATAATCTAATAAAGAAGGCCCTGGGCGCCTGGGTGGCTCAGTGGGTTAAGCCTCTGCCTTCAGCTCAGGTCATGATCTCAGGGTCCTGGGATCGAGGCCCACGTCGGGCTCTCTGCTCAGCAGGGAGCCTGCTTCCCCCCGCCCCTGTCTGCCTCTCTGCCTACCTGTGACCTCTCTCTCTCTCTGTCAAATAAATAAATAAATAAATCTTAAAAAAAAAAAAAGGCACAGAAAAGTATATAATTCACCTAATTAAAAAAAAAATCAAATGGGATCAAACAGGGACCAAATAGATCAGACATTATACCAAATTCCATGTCAAAGTATATCATAGGAAAATCCTCCAGAATTTCTTAGGTAAAAAAAGAATAAGGTCGTTACATTAGGATAGGTAATACCATTCAAATTTTTAGTGTGTTTTTCTTAGCTACATAGAGTACATTCTACATTGATGACTTATTATCCTTTTAAGAGTTAAATATCATGCTTCTTTAATATTGTCTTATGAATATTACCATCTTTTTCTGTGCTTCATGCAAAGTTTCAATAATCAATGACTAATATACAATAGGTAACAGTAGATGGGTGCTCAGCTGACTACCATATATTTCACATACACCCAATTTTACAGGAGCTAACTTATTTACAAGAAGTAGAGCAAGCACTTAGAAAACAAAGTTCATACCTTAACTCTATGCAATATTTTTCACAAGTTAGAAATTAGTTTATAAAATACAACTACAGAAAGATATTACTTTGATTCAATCTTACCACCTAGAATTGTATAATTACCTTATCACATTTATGCTGTACCCAAATCAGTTACGATTTTAAGCACTGCATTATTTGTGTCTTGTCACAAGTGTGGAAGCAAAAAGGATTTCTCCAGGTAATACAGTCTTACATTAAAAATAAAATAAAAGCTACCTTTGAATATAGATAAAGGGTATGCAAGAGATGGATACTGTCAACTTTTCTGTAGGTTTGAAACTTTCCAGATATAAAAGTTGTTGGAAGAGTAAGAATATTTAGATAAATAAAAAGATACCTTAATCAAAGCACATAAGCTCTTTCATACTAGCAGCGTTTATTAAACATAATGAATACTAGGTTATGATTATATATAATTACGTAAATACTTGCCACAGTAATGAATAAACTTACCTGTAAATTTTCATTCTATTCAAGCAGGCAAAAGTTATTCTATAGGATTTGAACCACATGATGCTGTATTCACTGAAAACCCACGGGTTAGTTTGTGGAGTCCAACTGAACTGATTCTCTGAATAAATTGAAAACAACATTATTAATTAATCTCCGTGCCCAATGGGGGGTTCAACCCCAAGATCAAAAGTCACATGCTCTAACCAACTGAGTCAGCCAGGTTCCTCTGAAAATAAAAATTAAATGCCTAGAGAAAACTGCACAGTATAAATCCCTAATACGTATATACTTGAAGAAACTATTTTACATGGCAATCTCATATTACAATTGATATACAAAAGGGTTTTCCCCTTACTTTTGGATTTATAGTAAAATATAAAATAAATATCTTGCGTTCTGCCAATTAACTCTAATCAAATATCTGAAATTTTAATTGGCAAAAATAAGTAATGTATATGTAAAAGTTTTTCATACCATCAGTTTCTCTACCAATATTATTCTCCATAATTATAAGAAATGAGATTTAAAATAAAACTATGTGACCTTTTAACCTAGGATGATATTAATTCTGAGATTATTTGTCAAAACAAGTTCAAATTCTGTCACGTTAGCTACTTGAAATGGATTTATACATAGACTTAAAACCCTTTCCAAAAGAAAAACCTGTATGTACGTGTGTATGTATACATATTATCCTAAAATAATCACTCATCCAGTCTACATGTTCAAACTTACATAGAAACCTGTTTTATGAACTAGTTACTCTGCAGCAGAACATTCAATTGTTCAATAAATACTTAGACAAAGTAGACCTTAGAGCAAAGAAAATACTACGGACATTATAAAGCTCACCCAACAGATTTTTTGACTCTGGTTGAAAAGCAGTCCAATGAAGGAAAAAATAGTCTTTTCAATAATGGTGTTGAAACAACTGGATACCAATAGACCAGAAAAGAAAACTTAAACCTAAATCTCACATCTTATACAAAAATGAACTTAAAATAGATCATTGATCTAAATGCAAAACCATAATACTTTTAGAAGAAACTATCACAGATCTTCATGACTTAGGGTTCGGCACAGAGTTCTTCTTACATCTGACACCAAAAGCACAATCCAAAATAGAAGATAGTGATTAAGTTGGACTTAGACTTGAAACCTTTCATCCTGCAAAAGACTCTGTTAAGAAGAAGAAAAGACAAATCATAGACGGGGAGGAAATATTTGCAAAACACATAACCCACAAAGGACTTCTATATCTGGACTACATGAGGATATTCTTTAAACTCAACAGTAAAACCCAACTCCCATAAAACAACAACAAACCAAGCAACCCAATTATGCAATGGGTCTGGTTCTTATAAAATGGGTATAGAAAGACATGAACAGACAATTCATCAAAGAGGATATACAGATGCAAATAAGCACATGAAGAGATATAAAATATCAATAACCATTAGGAGAATACAAATGAAAGCCACTACATACCTATCAAGTTGGTAAAAATTTAACCATCCTGGTATAACGAATTCCATAGGTGATTTCATATATTTTAGAGTACTTGTAGGTGAAATCCCAAGAATGACTGTGTTAAATGGCATGTGAATTTATAAATTTGTAATTGCCACTCACAGATGTTGAACCAGTTCCCAACACCAAGGGTAAAACCAGTTTCTAGTGCTGGCTTCCCCACACCAATAATACACTGACAGTCACTCATGCAGTGTATTATCAATTTTTTTTTTATTTTTTGATAATCCAATAGGTGAACATGGGATCTCAGTGTTTTCTGAGTTTATCATAAGTGTGGTTAAGTGTCCTTTCTTAACTTAATGGTGCTATGGTCTGAATGTTTGTGTTCTCCCCAAATTTATTCTTTGAAGTCCTAACCCCTAAAGTGATGATATTAGAAGGTGGGGCCTTTGGGAGGTGATGAGATCATGAGAGTAGAGCCCTCACGACTGGTTTAGCGACTTTATAAAAGACCCCAGAGAGCAAGTTTGCCTCTTCTATCATGTGAGGACACAGCAAGAAGGCTCCATCTATGGACCAGGAAATGGGCTTTTACCAGCACTGAATCTTGGATTTCCCAGTCTCCAGAACTGTAAGAAATAGACTTGTTGTTTATAAACCACCCAGTCTGTGGTATGTTGCTACAGTAGTCAAATGGACTAAGACAAATGGTCATTTATATTTCATGGCTTGTCTTTTCATAGTCTCTGAATATTTTTCTCTTGAGCTTTTTATGTTTTTTAAATTTTGTTTTGTTTTTCAGTAGGATCTTCACAGTCTGGCCCAAGGCCATTTCAACATTCTCACACACACACACACACACAAGTTAGTGTTTCTAGGCCTTTGCTCATGTTACTCTCTCTTCCACCATTTCCACCTATACTACGTTTAAGACCTAGTTCAAATACCACCTTCTTTATGACTTCAGGTAGATAAAGGAAGTGTTATTGGAGAATTATGTAAACTGTGATACGTAGATAAAAAAAATCTAAGTTATTATTATGAAACTGCACATCAGAGATTTTAAAAGTCTCTGCTCTGTACTCAGTAATGACCCTTATCATCCCTACTCCTCCTCTACTTCTGTAAAATTAGCCCCCCAGTTATCAGTATTGACAGAATTCTCAAGAGCTTTAAAAACCACCATACCAGAACTGAGAGAAACTAATTGAGTTTGTATTAATAAATAGAATCCTACCAACTCCTTCTCTACTTTGAATGTGTGATCATTTTGGTATTTGAGATTTTAAAGACATAGAGGAAAACTTCATTTAATGCATTCCAAACTTCATTTATCCAGAGCCTATGATGTACCATGCCAACAGTGAACAAAACCTCTACTCTACCAATACCTTGGTTCCAGCAATCATAATTTACTGTCAAGATTACTCTTAAGGCCTCCCTGGGCCTAGTCTTTCCTGCCACCATTCCACTTTCCACACAGCTGCCAAGTGTTCTTTCTTAAATACAGGTCAGATTATATTGCTCCTTCAGTAATTTCCCTCTGTCCTCAAGGTAAAGTCACTCTCAGGAGTATAGGTAGCCTTTCACAGACTTGTCATGGCCTAAAAAGTCTGTCTCATCCCTTGCCAGTCCTCACTTCCAGCCTTCCTTTTCAAGGAACACTTTGCACTTTCCCAGAAATCTCACAGATACTCAAGTTAGTCCTTTGGCCACTCCAATGACTTCCAAAACTGCCCAACTCCCTCAAGACAGCTTCCTAAATACTTTGTTCAAAAACTTTCCCTGATCTTAAATATGTATTAGATACTCCTTCTATACTCAGTCCCAAAATCTGAAAATATTTATATTTTTCTAAATTTCTGATTATAAGACATGTTTGCTGAAAAAATGAATTCCAAAAATATATAATGATAAAACGATGGATAACCACCTCCGCCACATATAATCACTGCTAAAATTTCTATGTATTTCTGTTCTCTCATATAGCTCCATATATAGATCTAAAATCATAATACATACTGATTTGTAACTTACTTTCTTAATGCTGTATCTGAATCATTTTTCCATGGGGGCACACACTGATTTAAATCATTTTTATTGGCTGCACTATTTTTCATTGCATTAGAGCACCAACTTATCAACTCTGTGCTGGACCTCTAAGTTTCCCGTTTCACCCATTATATCCTAATTTCAGTTCTAACATTTTTTTTAAAGAGATCTCTGAGGTGTCCTTCATTAGAAAATTCCCAGTGCCTAGGTGGCTCGGTTGGGTGTCCAAACTCTTGGTTTAGACTCAGGTCGTGATCTCCAGGTCTCCGGATCAAGCTCTGCCCAGCAACGGGCTCAGAGGGGAGTCGGCCTGAATTCTCTCTCCCTCCGCGCCCCCGCCCTTATAGGCTGGCTCTCAATCTCTAAAAATAAATAAATCTTAAAAACAAACTCCCAGTGCCTGGCACACAGCATTTGTTAAATGAGCTTCATATAAAGGGTAAACTTAACTTTCTGGTTAATCAAACTGTCTTCTGCAAGTCTCAGGTTCAGTGAGTTATTTCCTTGATCTTATTTGCCAAGAGTTTGATGAATTTAACCAAAACAAGTAGAATGGCTGCCTTAAATTCTTTCTGAAAAAAAAGAAGATATGTGCAAACCAAACAAATGCAACGCTATCAAGAACTCTGAGACCGCAGCCGGAGCCCTCTCGCGCGGCTAGGGAAGAAAGCACATGACCTTCCGATTCCTGCAGGCACAGAGTGCTCGCCAGCGGCAAGGACTCAACCAAAAAGGTCTCTGGATACACGGCGACGGCCGGGAGACTGCGCGCTCCGCAGCCGGGACCACTAGTCCCTAGTCCCAGTCTCCGGGAACGGGAGGCGAGAGCCCAGGCCGGGAGTATCATCGACAGCCAGAGACCAGACCGAAGGTAGATTTGCGCGGACCCCGCGCGGAGCTCAGAACAGCCCGCCACCCTCTGCCGCGCCTGCGCAAAACGGCGGCCCCGGCCCCACCCCCACCCTCGGTGGGTTGCGTGAGGGACCTTCACAGTGCCAACTTGGTTAAGCGACACTCACCTGCCGAACTGCTTAAGCGAGCACCCTCAGCCTGTGTACCCCAACACCTAGATCTAAGCCCTCCTACAAACCGAGTCCCGCAGGAGCTCAGCTTCCGGCCTCCCCACATCGTGAAAGGATCCACCTCCTTTCCGGTCCCTCCAGCAAAAGACCCCCAACAGAAAGGTTCCGAGATCCACTCTCACACTGTCGGGAGCCAGTCTACTCATGGCTGCATTAATGGCTGTTAATAGCGTGGGACTACACTCTTCACGCTCAACACCCGTCAAACTGCGCATGCAACTATGTTTGTTATAAGAGAACTTCAAGTCTATTATAGCCTATTTCGGTATGACCACCTCAAACCTCACGGCCAACGTAGTCATGGATCCTCTCACTTCATATTATGTAAACGAGCTTTTATTCTCATGTAACTCTTATTTAATATTTAACAGAAGTCTCCCATATTTATACTTCTGTATGCCACTGACCCTTAGAATCACAAATGCATGGAAGCACTTCTTTCCTAAAGGTAGAATTTTTTCCCCTTTCAAGGAACTCAAATGTCAGGGGGCTAGAAGTCCAAACTGAAAATTCAGTTTCTCCAAGTGACCTGATAATATTCTGGGCAGGGCATACGTTATGTAGTAAGACTCTAGCCAGACAAACTTCACTGAAAACTAAAGCGGTATTAACTTTACTTCTAAATGTATAGAAGCCTTTCCTTGAATAAGAGCAATGATACATTTTTAAGATTAAAGGAAAAAAAATCATTGTACATTTTCAATAGGCACGGTCAAATTGGTAAAGTGTTCTTTGAATTAGTGAAATTTAATGCTCAGTAATAGTCTTTCACTTATGGCTTCTTAGTAAAATATTGACCTCCTCCTAAGAGTGGCTGCAGACTTTTTTTTTTTAAAGATTTTTATTTATTTATTTGACAGAGAGAGATCACAAGCAGACAAAGAGGCAGGCAGAGAGAGAGAGAGGGAAGCAGGCTCCCCGCTGAGCAGAGCCCGATGTGGGACTCGATCCCAGGACCCTGAGATCATGACCTGAGCCGAAGGCAGTGGCTTAACCCACTGAGCCACCCAGGCGCCCGGCTGCTGACTTTTTTAATGTCCTTTTCAGAGTTCCTCTCTCAGGACACACGGCATCTCTCCAAAGACACAAAGCTCTGGGACAGAAGGACATTTAGCATGTGTTGTATTTATTAGAATGACAAATCCAAGGAAAAAGCAGAGTGCAAGTATGATTAAATAAAGTTTTAAAAGCTTTATTTAAATGTACTTTCTTTGAAAGTACCCCTTCACGGGGCTTCAGGGTCTTCCCATTGCCTTTTCAATTCAACAAAGGCAAACAGTGATTTGCCTTAATACTGACACAAAAGCCTCTTTAATAGCCACTAGTTTGGCCCCGATAAGCAAAACTAGCTCATTATACTCTACAAATATCAACAAAGGCTTTCCCAACGATGCTTAAACTCCAAGTTGTGTTGGTACGACTGGCAGTTGTAATGTGGTATATGGCCATTGTTGGGAGTATTTCCTAGACCACTGGCATGGTCTCACCCATGTGTGGTAAATCAGTGCCTACAATTTATTCTACTGTAAAACTAAAAATCCATTTAGTATTGTGAAATTCAAGTATAAAAACTTTTCTCAAATTAAGGGCAAAGTGCTCCCTTGTAGCTAACAGTTTTATCACTTTGAAATGATATACACGCATTCAGAGTTTAACTGGTAAATTTTCATACTTACAGAATTCCACATAAATGGGTAACTTAGGATAATTTCACCTTAACTTATACTCACATAATCAGATTGTGGCAGATTTAATCTTTTTGTGTACTTAGAGGAAAACTGTACATGATAAACCTTTATGGAATATAATGTAGTTCATCACACAAGTTATTTTAAGGGCTAATAAAAAAACTATTTTCTTTAGTGTTAGGTATTACAGCCAAATTCTATTTAAAACTGAAAAACTTAAGGGCTAGAAATATTAAAGACCTTAGAAAGAATCAAATTCCACCCTTCCATAGTTAAAGAAATTGAGGCTCATAGTGTTTATGTGATTTGCCCAAAATATATTAAGCAGCAGAATCAGGACAATCCAGTGGATCTAATATTTCCATTAAACCATGATTAGTACATTTTAGAAACTTCGATAAATGAAAATAGACTTTAATGTATATAAGAAAAACTCCATTTAAATGTAAAGGTTTCCATAAGACAGTATTACAGGAACTTGAACCTTATACAATTCCTCTGTAAAAATTCTCACAAAAATAAAAAACCTCAACTACTAATTAATTATACTTTATGTGTTTCCTTGAAGAAACAATAACTTAGACACTAAAAAAAATAGATGTTTGGGAAGTTCACCTATTGTGTATTATACCATTCGAAACAGATGCTAAAAAAAGACATTTTACAATGGCAGAAAACATATACACTGAGATTCCACACCAGTCTTTATTTATATTTTGGGGCCTTCATTAAACAAATCTTATAATTACCTCTTCCAAATTACATTTTATTCTCTTAATGGTGTGGTTTACCCCCACTGCACAAAAACAAGTATGATTAATACACTAGAAATATTTTAAAAGAGAACCCAAAGACAGTTTTATTAACCAATTCAGACCAATGATTGTCTCAAAAATTGAATCTACGGATTTTCTGGTGGTATCATTTTAGAAGATTTCATAACCAAATTATGTATCTAGTTAACTTATGCATGTTAGCATTCACATCCCAAATCATGGAAGCCCTATTTTATAAAAATCTTACCACTAAGGTAAACATACTTAATTACATGTCAGTGAAATGATGAATTCTCTAAATTATCCATAAAACCTAAAAAACCCAAATATCTAATTATAATACTGATGTATCTACTAATAATCACATATATCATGACTGTGTTTTAAAAAATATCTACAGATTTAAATGATAAGAAGCTTGCATATTATGGAAGAGTAAATAAAACTGTCAAATATTATTTTTGGCTCTTGTCATTTGTCTTGCCCAAAAATGTGCATATCATAGCCAACAGAACTTTTCTGTAGAATTTTATTTTGAAAATATTATTTTAACCTGAAGATTGATCTAAAAAACATTTTAAGATATGAAAATGTTATACAACTTATCTATTACAAATTAATCTGATAATTCTGCAATTAGGTACATTGTGTTAGCTCACCTACATAAAAAATATTGCACATTTTCATTTTGTCTCCACGTGACTGATGTCTAAACTATATGGAATTCCAAACTATTTAAAAGTTATTCTGTGAATATCAACTTTATAAATATCAGAACTAAATGCACTGTAAAACAACCATTTTGGTAAACATGCATTTATTCACAGTTGATTTATTTCCTCTAGATAAATGCGTAACTGTTCAAAATTATTTAGGAACCTATGTAGAGGTACAAGAGCACACTTACAAATCTATTTCTACCTTCATTTTGAAGAAACACTGATCTTGGCAAAAATCTGGCTTATTTTAAAATGAACTATTGCTGGTAAGAAGGCATACTTTAAAACTTTTCCGTGACCTGCACCTGCTTTTTTCCTTTTTAAATTAAAATGTAAAAGCATTTCTTTTCAGAGTTGTATCTGATTGTGGCATAAGACAATAATCACACAAAAACAGACCCTGAAAGCAGCTGGGCATTTAAATGCCTGCAGAGCCTCATTTTACTTGTAAGTTTTGACTGCCTTAAATAGCTAGACCACTCACTGATCGTAATTGTTAAGAAAGTGACAAAACCAGACCATTTTAATGTCATGAAATTGACACAAACCTGCATAATATAGCATTCCTCCACTGAGTTGAGGTCATATTATACTTTAAAAATATAAATAAATATACTGAATTGTGAGTCTTATTTCTGTAATATCCCCAGTGTTTGAAATATGCTTTTAAAACAGAAGTGGATAATTGCAGAATATAATTCCAGACTTGACTACTAGTGTCAAACACAACTGTTCCTTATAAATGACTCTAATGGTGCACTGGCTTGATTGATTCCAGCAATTTCACTGTACAGAAGAAAACCATACTTTATACACAGAGAATATATTACTTGAAAATCCTCAAAATAGGAAAAAAAGTTTAGAAAGCTGTCAAATGTTTCCAAATGAAAAGTAAAGGTCTATTTTTGGCCCTCTTCCACACCCTTAAAGTTGGAATTTGACAAAAATCCATGGGTACAATTTACAAACTTTGACAAACTATTAAGTTAAAACCATTTTCTTTGGGGAAGATGAGAGGAAGTACCTTTAAAACCTGTTATACAAAATTCCAGCTGCCTTTTTATAAAAGTACGTTCCTTAGATTAAAATCATAAAATTAAGGTGCAAGAGGTTAACAAAAATGAACTGAAGAGCTTTATTGACATCACAGTACATTCAAGAATAATTTTAAGAACATTACAGCTGAAAGAGAATGGCATGTTTATAGTCTTATTAAGCACTATTTTTTGAAAAAAATGTAATACAAAGAAATCCTATTAAGTAACTTGGAGCAGCATTTGGAAAAAGTACACCTATTTACAGATTAAAAAAAAAAAAATTCTGGTTTCACCTACACAGCCACAATGTGCCTCTATAATGAGACAAGCCCTTAAAACTCATGGAATTTTTTAAACATCATGGCATTCTTGCCACATCATTCCTCAGCGTTTACGACGGGGAGGGGTTGTTGATCTGAAAAAAAAAGGGAAAAGACAAATTTAAAAATAAAAATGTATTTTAAACTAAAGAATCTGCAATTTTTAAATAAATATTATTATATAGGATTTCTAAAATTACTTAAGACTATGTTCATTTATCAAGTACCAAACTGAGTTGTTATTAAAGAGAGAGAGAGAAAGGACACTTTCAACTTTGAATAAATTCAGTCAAATTTTTTTTTAAAAATCAGACAAAATACTTTAAAAAGTATACTACCTTGATCGGGACTTAGACTTGTGTTTGCGGCTTGCCTTCTTACCAGACCTTTGAGATTTCTCCATGGATCGCGATCGACTATGTTTAGGCTTCTTAGCCTTCTTTTCTTTGCTACTTCCTGGAGATTCAGAACTGCTCCTTCCACTAGAATCAGAGCCTGAATGTTTTTTGCTATCTTTGGTAGTACTTTTCTTACTATCCTGTCTAGAATCATGTCTGATAATTTTAACAGATATAGAACCACTCCTAGAGAATGTTCTTTCACTTTCTCGTTTCCTTTTTAACCTATCATCCTGACTACTGAACTTAAAATCTTTTTCTTCTCTTTTTTGTTTCTCTTTTCTTTTATCCTGTTCACGTTCCCTTTCTTTGTCTTTCTTTTTCCTATCTTTATCTATACTCCGGCTCCTCTCCTTTTTTCTCTCTTGTTCTTTAGCCTCACCTTTATGCTTATGACTGCTCCCACTAAGATTTCCACGTTGATCATCAATTTTACGCCTATCTCGACTCCTACTGCGACTGGACCGATTGGTTCGCCTATCCCTTGAGCGACTTCTACTTCTACGTCTCTCTCGAGAAGGACTCCGATTTCTTCGTCTTTCTCTTTCAATGCTATTCCTATTAGATCTCCTCCTATCTCTAATCTTTACTCTAGCCCTATTGCTCTCTATTTTAATTCTGCGAGAGTAACTTCTACTTCTACTCCGTCTAGCTTTAATTGTTGGAGATCTACTCCTACTATGTCTTTTTTTCCTTTTAGGAGAAGAAGATCGGGAAGAAGTACGACTACTACCTGAGCTAGAACTGTATGAAGAGCTAGAGACAGTACTACTAGTACTACTCGTTCTGCTATTGCTACTGGAACTACCACTACTAGAACTTCCTGATCTACTTCTTCCTTGTTTCTCTTTTTCTTTATGCTCTTTTTTTGGTTCTAAAACTGATGTAGTTTCATTTGGAGTTCTTTTCTTTTCATTAACCACATCACCATCTGCTTCTCTTGCTTCTAGTAGTGATAAACTATTTTGCTCTTTATGGATAAATTCATTCATCTCTTTTGTAACCCTTTCTGTTTGCTGCTTTTCTTCTGAAAGAGAAAAAGACAAAAATACTATGAAATGTCAATGTATAATGAAAAAAACTCCCAAACTACCAAATTTCAAGCTATTAGATCGTAACAGTGAAACAGCATTCTTCAACAGAAACAGGATACAAGCCACATAAGCAATTAAAAATTGTCTAGTTACATTAAAAAATTAAAAAAAGATAAACTTAATTTCAATAGTTTGTTAACCCAATATATCAAAAACATTATCATTTCAACATGTAATAAATCCAAAAGAGTACTAAGATATTCTGCTTTTTTGGGGCACATAAAATCTCTCAAATCTATTATGTATTTTACACATACTTACAGCATTATTTCAATTTAGGGTTAGGTACATTTCAAATGTTCAATAGCTGCAAGTAGTTAGCCATGCTCCTGGACAATACAGCAAGAGGGTACTGAAGTGTAAAGGTACATTTGAAGCAATCTAAAAAGATTTCCCTTTTGTCCAATAAGGCAACTTAAAGGTAAGTAAGTAATTTTATAGGGAATTTTCAACTGCTAACTCTTAATAATTACCTTCCCAATCGTCCAAGTATGATTTTTCCAAAAACTTCAAAATACTCTTTCAGTATTCCTAATATCATTATATAAACTATAAAGAACATATACAGTATTTTGCATAGAAAAGCTTCTAAAAGCCCTCTATTTCCTTAAATATACTAGCTACACACTAAATATTCTAGCTACAAATTACTTTACATTAGTTTTACAAATATATTTCTATTTCAAAAGCTTTGAGAACTTTAGAAATGAAAATACACTAACTTATAGCTACTGAAATTAATGTCTTACAAAACAAGACAAAGTTTACCTTTTACAAACTACATATTTTGAATACTACAAGCTTTTGTAGTTTTGAAAAAAACCACAAATAAGCCAAAAAACCCTTAGTTTCAGTTATGGCACATATTATCTATACTCTAACCTTAATTCTGTCCCTGATACTGTTAGGTTATTTAAAAAAAACACACACACACAAACAGAACTAGACAAAAAATTAAGGGCGTCTAAAGATGTACCTTCCATCTGTTTATCATGTAATAGCTGCTGTTCCTTTTCTTTTCTCCAAAAAGCTTCCTGTTTTTGCCGGATTCGGTGCCGTAATTCCTCATCATCAGTGTCAGATGACTCAGAGCCTCTGTCACTCCTCTCATCTTCACTGTCTCCTGATCCATAACCACCCAGTCCACCTGTGTGCATAAAGCCCAGTCTATCATATGGAAAAATTATTCTATACACTAAAAAATTTTTAAGGTCCGAGAAGAAAGCTAATTTCTTTTTTCATTGCCTTTTCTTGGAAGAATATGCTTATTCGGGGTGGGGAGAAGTATAAATTCCAATTCTTAAGGAGTTTATAGATCCCTCCTGAAAATTAACAGAATTTCATTCTTTCTGGAATAGTTCATGTATTTCTCACCACAAAGGAATCGTGATAATGGTTTGTTTTACTGTCCGCGCAAACCAACGAAACCATTTAACAGGGCAATAACAAAGGCTCACTAAAGCATAGTCAATTCAACTACTGATGATCCTGAAAATATTTGTAAAATTCATTCTTTCATTGTTCAAAGCTCAGAAATCCCAGGTAGTATGCAAAGTATTTTTTCCCTAAAAAAAATTAGAATATTGTAATTCTCACTGGTCAGAAATGGTAAGGTGCTAAAACTACTCCCCACCCTGAAGTGACCTACATAGTAATCATCACAAAATCACATGGGCATTTGCTTCTAACCATTTCTGTTGGTCCCCACAAAGATTAATTTGATATGATGCGGAAAAGGCACGTTTAAGCTTTCATATATTTGAGAATATATCATGCAAAGAGCAAATTATGAACACATCACTACTATTATACTATGGTAAGATAAACTCTTTTCCTCTATGTTAAAACTCGACTTACTACAACACAATCTACATAAAAGTGCTTAAAAGCATTAGAGGACAGGTTCTTCCCTAAAGCATGTATGCGAATAATTCTGAAAGTGAGCTTAAATATTATCACAGCTAAATTATGAACTGTTACAACTTGCCCCAATAAACTATGAATTAGTCACATTTATAATGATTTATAATAATCCCTTTGTGAACGCTTTAGGCAAAAAAAAAAAAAAAATAGGCAAATCTTTTAGAGAATGATATAAGCCTAAGACCTAGGTTTTAAAACTGAGTAGGAATAGTACAGTTTCAAAACAGAACACGTAGAGAGACAAGGTAAGTGTGATTTTCTCTTTAAGGCCCTCTCACAAATAAGGAAAACACTTACCGAGTCCAGTGAGGGAAGCCAGTGCACTGGACTGTGCCAGCTGTTTTGCAGGAGCTTTGTATCACATCAACAACAGGAACAACATGTTAACACAAATAGCCACGATTTCATAGTCATGAGAGTCTATGGTATTGTTAAATCTACTACTATTGCTGCTTTTTGGGGAGAGAAGAAACATTAAAAACATAACATTCACTTTAAACCAGTAGCATGTCTGGCCTTGAAATTATAATTCTGAGGTGAGCTGAAATTGGTTTATAATGATGAAAAATGTTGACCACTACATCAGTTATTTTATTGTTGAGGTATGGTCCATAATTTTTTTTTTCAATATATTTTGTGTTACTAAAAATAGAGGGGGTGGGGATGGGTGAATTTCTTCTGCAAGTACTGTAAGTGGTAAACTGTGAAAACTGAAGGTTCGTAATTCAATTCACTAGTGAAACTAAACTGTATTAGAAGTTATACACCAATACCATGGTGTCTATAAAAAAACAAAATCAGGTGAAATAAATCAAGTATCAAGAATTTTTCCACTATATGTTTTATAGAAAAACAACCTAATTGCTAATTTGCGCTCAGGCAAGTTGGGTAATAAAAGAAAAATATTCACATAGTTTTAATACGGTGTCTACAAACCTAACCTTTCCTGGAGAGTTAAAACATGCAAGAAGAAAATATTCAAATATCTGCTAGAATTCAGCAAGGACAACCAAAAAGAGTCCAAAAGAGCCACCAAAACCAAAATACTCCCAGAAAAACAAAACCAAGAACACCCAAAATATACCTTTCGTTGCTTTCCGGTGTGCATCTTTGGCTACATAATAAATTTCTTCATCCGTGACATCCAGTAGAATTTCGGTTAGAAGCATTTTTGTCAGCAACATCTATGGAAGGATATTTTACGTGTTTACATACATTTATGCATATTATTTTTAACTTTATTATTATAGTTACTAATACAGTTTGACTTTTTAAAAAAAATTAGTGAGCCACTTTATAAAACATATTTAAAGAGATCGTATCAACCATTCCAAGCAACTGCATATTTGAAAATTATTCTAAAACACATAAACTGAAGTGCCTGGGTGGCTCAGTTGGTTAAGTATCCGAGTCTTCATTTCAGGGTCATGATCTCAGGATCGTGGGATCAAGCCCCATGCCAGGCTTCATGCTGGACATGGACCCTGCTTAAGATTCTCTCTCTCTCCCTCTTGTCCTCATTTCCCTCTCCAAAAAAAATAATAAATAATAAAAATAACAAATTTTTTAAAATCCAGTACATGGTAAGAAATTTAACATTCTACCATTTGATACTCTTTCTCTTCTTCAGTCATCTCTGGTTCACTGTGCTCTTCCTGAGGAACTGGAGATGGACTTCTGGTGACTTTTCCACTACTAGCAGCCTCAACATTTTCAGTGTCTTCATCTTCCTCATCACTATCCTAGTAATGAGTAATAGTAAAAGTAATAGTATGTGTAACCCAAATTCAGGCTTATAATGTAAAATCATTATCTTACACACTACTTTAAAACCCCAAATTAAAAAGTCTAAGAAACAGATAAATAAAAATGATAGCCTTCACTTAGTAGTATAAAGTGTTACCTGAAAAGAAATCTAAAATTACAAGATAGCTTATGAGAATCAAGTATTTTAATTATTTTTCAATTTTTCCTTGGTTAATTTTGACTTTATTTTATAATAACCAGGAATATAACATGCCAAAACTGACTGAATTAATATCCACTATATATGATGGTCCTGAAATGAGTGGCTTATAGAACTTTGGATAAGTAGACCACATTTATATTATTCAATGTAACTTTAATAACTACAAATTTAAGGTATTTACCTAAAGCCATGTGACTTAAAATTTAAAAAGTCTGAAGTCAGTTTGCAGATCTTAGCTGGCCTTGAAATTCAGTGAAATTTGCTTCTTTTTCGCTATGAAATGGGCAGGTAAGAAATGAGATGTACTTCAGATGGAGGAAATGCCAGCACTCTGTCTGTTCCTGGCTGTAGGTTTTCAGTATCTAGATAGCACACCTTAAAAGGGGGACTCCTCTTAGGCAAAGAAGTATCCCGCAGTTACCCTTAAAAATCCTACCAAGTAGGGGCACCTGGGTGGCTCAGTGGGTTAAGCCTCTGCCTTTGGCTCAGGTCATGATCTCAAGGTCCTGGGATCGAGCCTCGCATGGGGCTCTCTGCTTAGCAGGGAGCCTGCTTCTCCCTTCTCTCTCTGCCTACTTGTGATCTCTCTCTCTCTCTCTCTCTCTCTCTCTCTCTCAAATAAATAAAAAAAAAAAATATAAAAAAAAAAAAAAAAAAAAAAAAAAAAAAAAAACAAACCTACTAAGTGAAGACAAGGTGATCACTGAAACACTAATTTCAGACTAGTTCAAAAGACTATTTGAACCAGGGGAAGACTACATGTAACACAAGCCCAGCGGCATGTGGGAGAAGAGGGAAGAGAATCTTCAAACAATTTTTTGACACTTAAACCTATTAAATCTGGAAATCCATTATTTCATCTAAAGAGTTAAAAATTACCCCCAAAAAAGGGTAAACTTTAATAGTGGCAGTCTTTTGGTTCTTATCTTCATAATACCCACCAAAAAAACCCATCTTTGGCATTGTTCTTTTGTCAAAAGATAAAAGTAACTTATGGCATTTGTTACATTTTTTTTTTTAAAGATTTTTATTTATTTATTTGACAGAGAGAGATCACAAGTAGACAGAGAGCATTTGTGACATTTAAGCTAAACCAATGTCTAATTAAATCTAGTTACCTTGTTATCTCAAGATTTATTTCTGAAGCACAAAATGGCCTTGGAAGGCCTACCTATTTTGGCCAGTTGCATACTGGCCAGTGCTGTGGCTACCATGTCATCTGAGAGCACATTATTGCTGAATAAAAAAATTCCTAAGCCACTCACACCATCTAAATGATGAAGCTTTGGGACGCCTGGGTGGCTCAGTTGGTTAAGGAGCTGCCTTCAGCTCAGGTCATGATCCCGGCGTCCTGGGATCGAGTCCCACATTGGGCTCCTTGTTCTGTGGGGAGCCTGCTTCTCCCTCTGCCTCTGCCTCCCACTCTGTCTGCCTTTGCTCGCTCTCTCTCTCTCTGACAAATAAATAAAATTTAAAAAAATCTTTAAAAAAAAAAATGATGAAGCTTTAAAGATTTAACTTTGTTACTTTCAGTGCTCATTATTAGTTATTTATTTCAGTAATTTTCACATATAAACCACATGGACTTTCATGTTAAGTAATTCTAACACTTACAAATTTACTTCTCTGAGGTAAACGAGGGCCATCCCCTCCTTCAGCATCTTCTGTGGCCTTCTTTTCTTTTTTGGACAATTGTGAACGTTGTTGCTCCATTCTTTCTTTCTCCAATTTCTTCTGCTTTTCACGTTCCATTTTTTCAAGGCCTTCTCGAATCCAAGCTGGAAGAGTCCTGCGTTTTACTGCATCTGTTTCACATGAAAAGAAACATTTCTAAGTTAGTTAAGTAAAAATCACAAATGCATGAGTTCCTTATTCTTGGATTTCTACAAACTGGTACCACTTGAGTGCTTATAACTATCATTCTCCAGTAAGACCGTAGTAAAGCAACCCATTAACCATTATGCTTCTTTTTAAAATCATTTTTAATGACAGCGTGAATATTGTGTTAATGCTTATAATAAGCCAGGCACTATGAAAGCACATTAAAACCACCATCTTGCTTAATTCTTAAAAAAAAAAAAAAAAAAAAAAAAAAATCACTATTACTCAATCTGTTTTACAAATAAGAACACGGAGGCTTATAAAATTAAGTGATGTGCTCAAAATTAAAGAGACAGTAGTAGTGATGGGGACTAATTCGAAGCCAAACTCTTAGACTACACTGCTTCCTAAAATATGGAAACAGAACAAACAAAAGCACGTCTACTTTCACACTGAGAATTCATCTGAACAAGTATGATTCCATAAGTTAAAAAAGAAGTTAGAATCTTCTTAAAATGTCTATTTCATAACAGAAAGTTAACACTTGAACATTCTGGTATTATAAATGTTCAATTTGGATTTCTAAATATAAAGTAGTTTAAGTCTGTAACTTGTCATTAGACTTAAGGTAGTTATGTTAAAAATTTAAATCTTCTGCCAAAGTATTTCTGGAAAGTGAAATAATAAAAGAAAAATTAATCTGACATTAGCGTATCAGATGAATGGAGAGTGGAAAGAGACAAGAGATAGAGAACAACTAAGAGATTTTAAAAGGGGCAACTGTTCATAAATTGGCATAATGTATCAAACTATCAACACTGAAAAAATATCAAGATGCTATGGCCATGATAAATTTACAATTCATCACAAAATCTGGAGTTTAAGGTAACAATTTCTTTTAAAGAAAATTATTCAGAACTTTATATATTTTATACCAGTATCCTTTTTGTAATTTTAAGGGTTATGACTATAAAATGATAGGGTTTTTAACTATCAATTCCTAACATATCAGAAGTGTCAAAACAATTTAAGAAAATAAGACAGTCTTTTCACATGATCAAGAAATCATGCCAATTGTGCTTCACTAAACTTAAATAGCTACCAATTTGTGGAGGCTCCTGCTTCACAGGAAGTGCAATAGGCGATCGCTGCCGATCCCTGAATGATGATGGCCTTTCTCTTCGATTCTGGGGAGGTGCTGGAGGTCCTGGAGGTCCTGGTTGCCAATAAGGAGGATGAAATCCACCTTGCGGTGGACCAAAAGCAGCCCCATGCTGAAAGAGTATTGCAGTTTATTTTTCTTCACATTAATACAATATACTCTCTGGGACACACGTGTGTTATGAACTGGGACAGTAGAAATCCATGTGTGCAGCAAATCCAAGAATTCCATGGTTCTAACATCCACCGATATTTCTGTAACCCCAAGAACCTAGGCTTACTATTCTTAAGAAAGATAAAGATTTTCTGCCTATGTAAATGTGAAGAGCCATCTAAAATTCAGCTAATACACTATTTTCAAGAAGTAGAGAAAAGGATATTTTATATATATATATATATATATATACACACACACACACACACATATATACACATATACATATATATACATATATATATATATATATAACCTTTTTCATTCTGAATCCATTTATAAACTAGTCCTTCCACTACCAAGGTATCAAATGTCAATTTTTCTATAACTAGAAAATACAAGAAAAAAATTTTTAAATCAATTCCAAGTTATTTCTTAGTGGAACTTGTTTCTGCAATCTTGCAAGAAGTTATCTATTTTAAACAAAATAAAAGTTATTGAATCATTAAATTTTCTTTGTAGTTTTGCCATTCAGAGGCTTTTCTTAAGCCCATCGCCAACAGAGCTCTCTGGCTTGTCAGCATAGGGATCCATCAAGATAATAGGGTGTGAGTAGAAGCTCCCTGCCTCTACGTTTCTTCGAAACCAAACCAAACAAAAAACGGTCGTATTTGTATACCAAGCATGAGTATACCACAAATATCTGAATATGTATGAATAAAGAGTACTCTCAAGGTGAATACTGGTTACATTTATGTCCATAATGTGAATTTTTTCAAAATTTTAAATTATGATAGTTCAGTTTATAAGGTTAACAACTGCAATCAGTTATTTCAAAATGACGCCTAGCACTATAGCTTAAGGGTGGACCCTTGGCAGAGTAGTTAGAGAAAATAAAGCCCCACATAATGATACTATCCCCATAGAGTTCTATGTCCCTAGGAATGAATAAGATGCTACAAAGGAAATTATGTACAATTCCATTAACATGTCATGTTAGAATGGAAAAAAAAATGACCTCACTAGAAAAAGTCATAATTCTACATAGCAGAAGGAACTGCATTTAGGAAGATGATCTGTTCTTCATGTATTTTATTCACGTCTTATCCATAATCTATTATTGACAAATAATGTATTCAACTACTGTGAATTTTCTAAACTTTATTCGACATTTAAATATACCACTTTAAAATTATTAGAAAACAAAACATCATATAGCTATTGCACTTACATATTTTTCATTTTATCCAAACATTTCCCTAATGATCCTTTATATCATTCTCCTAAGCAAACCGAAAACCAGAAAATAAGAATCTAATGATTTTAATACTCAAAAATCGATAACTTTTCTGAGACATAATATGCCCTTATCTGTACAAGACTGAAAAGTGAAACACAGATCTTAGGTACTCTTGATGAGACACTTCCAAAGAATGGTAGATTACGTGCACATCTACAATATTAAAGCAACAAAATATCTTTCACCTGATAGTCAAACTGGTTCACTGGCCCCACTGCAAAATTATCGGGTGGTCCACCAAAGTTGTGATTGTTCTGGTTAAATATATGCCTGTTGTCAGGGGCAAATTCCCCACTGTCCTGACTGTTGCTGTCTTCGGAAGGAGGAACAATGTCCATTGGGCCTGGTGTTGGTGGCATCCATGGCTGATCTGGAGGGGGGTGTGGGGGCTGCTGATGCATTCCCCATTCTATTTAGGATTCAGGCATAAAAACATTCAACAGGGGTTATAACAAAATCAACACAAATTTTTAAGATCTCAAGAAAGATTTTTCAGCAAAGAAACAGATTTAAAAATTTATGACTTCTTGGTCAAATTCCTCTTGTATATCTTAAAAATAAGCAATTAATTAAACTAATAAATAATTCAAATGAGCTAACTCCACTCTAATTCATATCCTAAACATATAAAAATCAAATGCCCAAAATTTTAATAAATGTAACAAAATCCAAAGCAATTTTTTTGTTGAATTTTTCTATTTCTGTTCAATAACAATACCATAGAAAATAACACCTTGAGATTTAATATATAATTTCTTTCTTCCATGAACACATTTATCCTCACAACATCCCTGTGAGGTAGGGAGAAAGCAGGTATTATTTTTGCCAATTTAAAGAGGGGAAACTGAGGCACACAGAGGTAAATCACTTGCCCAGGTCACAAAGAGAGCCAGTAGAATAAAGTTGGGGAGAAGGAATGCCAGGGTAAGTTATTTATGAACTTGAACTTGGGAACCAGAACATTTTCAAATTTGGGGAAATTTGGTGTAACTTCAAGAAAACTAGAAATAAACTACCTCAGAGTATCAAAGATTAGAATATTCATTATTCTTTAAAAAGTGATGTTAGAGGTTTACCTCCTGAATTTTCCACTCTTACATTGAGAAACAATAATAAGTATCAATAGGGAAAGGGAGATTAAAACTTCACCATTAGCATACTTAAAGATTCCTCTATAAATATTTTGAAGTGACTACTAAAAATAATTAACACAAGACATGGAAAACTGAACTAGCATCAAGAAATCTAAATCATAGTGTGAAGTAAAAAAAAAAAAGCAAACAAACAAAAAATAAAACATAAAAACTTATGAAGATCTTCACTATCTGAAAAAAAAGGGAAGAAAAAGATGGGTGGAGAGTAGGGGCAGAGTATATTTGACAGACTAGTTTGTCACAGAGTGACACAGAATTTCTTTAATTAGAGGCTAGACATGTTTTGCTCTGCCAGTGCTGCTTCTGAAAAGGCCAGAGGTTGCAACAGAGAGACATAGAATGCTCTCTTCCCTAGATGCCAAGTGAGGTTTCCAGTGTTCCCAGCCCCTGTCAGCCTAGGAATGAAGAACCGAGAAAAGAATCAAACTGAGTGCCACAATGCTAGCAGACGGAGTACAGAACAACTTTAACCACAAAATTTCAAATTCAAATCTAAATGAAACTGCCTATTCTTTAAGGACCATTAATTTCAAGAAGTCATAAAACTAAGCAAATTAAACAGTTTAATTTAATCCACATTTTATTTTTAAAATAGTCCTAAAATCTGGATAACTTGAAACAACAAACCTGGTTGCCACATTCTGTTAAAGTTTGAATCCCCTTGAAAATTCCCATGATTGTTTGGACCAGATTCCATTGTAGACATATCTTGTCCATTTGGCATCATTCCTGGTGGTTGTTCTACCATACTTTGCTGCCCTGAAGCTTCTCTTTGGGCAATCCAAGCTTGAGCCAATGCAGCCCAGTCAATCTGGCCTAACATAATTTAATATAGCAGAATTTAACATTCAGAATTTAAGAGCTAAAAGAATAGTGCCTCTATGTAAAACAAACATCTCAGTTATTCCTTACTAGAGATTTTAAATATTACAGTATGTTATGGCTGAAAGGATGCTTAGAAAATAACCCATATCCAGGCTACAAAATGATTTAACTATAAGACTTGCAGAAAACTCCAGTAAAACACTCTTAACTGTTATTTCTAATATTAACTCCTAAGAAATGTATCCCCTGTACCTTAGTTTAGTTAGACTTTAAGTCTTCCTTTTTTTTTTTAACTAATTATAACACAAATGATCAAATTCACACACCACTTCTTCAAACAGGACCTACCCAGGCCTACAGAGAATTCTAAGACTTCAGAAAAATAAAGTTATTTATGCATGTTCCTCCGCACCATCACCCTCTTTTCCTTCCTCTAGTTAAAATACACTGCTTAACAACTTCTTAGTCATTCTTTATTCAAAATGTATTGCCTTGCTATCTTAAAGGACCTCTTCCTTCTCCAATATCTATACATAACATTTTAAGTTGATCTAATATTATTAATAGAAGAAACAAAGAAGAGTAAGATGTTTTTTCACATCTCAGTGAAGATTAAATAGAACTCATCTGGCACAACCCAGATGGAGCTGAACTTAGGTAATATGTATCTAAAACTTTTCAAATGTGCAACAGCAATGTAACAAACCTAGTTCTTGGATTTTTTTTCCTCACAAAATTACTGGACAAGTAACAACGCAATGACATGTACACGAAATTATGGTAATTATTTCAAAACGTAAAAAGCTACACCCAATCATCCAAAAGTGATTTATTAAATCACAGTATTATCCTGTAATACAATGCTATGTAGGTATTAAAAAAAGGAACAGAAACAGATTAACCCAGTAAAAGCAGTGCAGTGGAAAGGGTCACATCAATGAAACAAAATTGGCCATGAGTTAATAACTATTAAAGCTAAGTAATAAATGGGGGTTCCCTATATTCTTTTCTACATCCATATATGCTTGATAAATTCCATAACACAAAGAAATTTTTAACTGAGATATAAAGCATAACATCAGCTGACTATGAGCTACATAGAATTGTAAGATTTGGAATTAAAAACAGAAGTGTGCTTTACTTAAGCAACACATTTAAGGAAGATTTTTTCTTTCTTTAGAAAAACAAGAACTAAATCAGTTTTGAAAACATAAAATACTCATAAAGCTTTCTACTCTTTGGGGAAGTCCCCCGAAGAGAAATCCATTCCCTAGTATGTATGGTATAGCCATATTATTTATGAGAAAAGATTAAATTTTGTTCATAAAATGCTCCAATAAATCAATCCCAATTCCATTTCGCTTAATCCCATCGCCCATCTCCCACTCATCTCTATCTCCCCTTCCCCAACTTCCAAATTCAATTTGTTTCCTTACTTGGATCCTGCTGGTGCTGGAATGACTGCATCCACTGTTGCTGGTTCAAGGGCCATTGCTGCCAAGGCTGTCCTCCTTGATCCCACATCCTGACTTTTAAAATATATTTGATTTTCTACCTTTAATAAAATAAACAGTTTAAAAATGAGAATGAGAGTTCTTTAATTTTAAAAGCTCACACATCAAAAACTATAGGATGATACAGTTATGTGATCAGAGCTCTAAAATTCTGGTCAACAGGTTGCCAGAGGCAACTGGAATTTTTAGGTTGGCAAGCAAAAGCAAAAAATTTCATGTTAATGATGGTGTCAGAGCTTGATGGCAAGCACAGCTCTAATAAATTTAGCTAAAAAGATGGGGTGAATTTACTTTTTTTCAATACAGATCTCTGGAAATGTAGTTATTTTCAAGATTATAAGAAAAAAAGTGATTTAATCTCTCCCCAACCAAGACTCCTTAAAAAGGGCAACCAAACAACAGCTCTGGCTGAGGAAGGAAAACTCTTCTAATTACAGCTAACGAATGCAGAAGTAGAATAGAATTAGAAAATCACATATTACCAAACCTAATGAAACAACTGACTCAGGAAATCTTAAAAGTTGATAGGAAATCAAATACAAAGGTTGTTGAAATATCACCCCTACAAGACTATCAGAAATCTCCTCCTGAGATACATTGTGTCCCCAGAATCACTATGAATATGTTCACCAAAAATGTTTAACTGAATCCATTTGAGCTTCTGGATCTTACTTTCAGAATAAAGAAATTATAAGGAACAAAAGAATGACGTAGGCAGTATCAAAAGAAACAATCGGACAAATCCAGAAAGTGAGAGAGTCTACCAAGACCCAAATTTCTTGAACATGTAAATAGCATGGGAAACAAAAGGAGAGAATATCTAGGTGATGGGTGTGGGGGAGGGGTTTCACCACACTGGTCTACTTTTCTCTAAACTACTTTAAAAACTTTCATAATAAAAAGTTTAAAATTCCTACAAGTCCAGTATATTTGTACTTCATCCAACAATGATGTACAACCCTATTCAAGAACCAATGACACACATAGTATGGAGGGTATGTTTCTTCATTTTTGAGGCTTAGCATAGAGCAGGCATTAAATAAATTTTTACTAAATTAATCTTTTTATACTGACCCTTTCCTCTACTCTAAAAACAAGACAAAAGCAAGCCTTAGCACTGCAGGATCACAAAAAATAAAAAAGCCATATTAACAAGTGAGAAACACCCACTCAAATAGGACAACTGGCTGCTACAATTCAGTCTCTTAAAGGGTGTACAGCTCTGGTCTTTGCAGCATTCACAGAATGTTATAAAGTTCTATCAATGGCAGATCCTAACCTTTCAACTGAAGAGCACTGTAAATTGGGAAATACGCAGCAGCCCTTTTGTTACCTTGATTGTTACTTCTAGTTACACTAATACAGTCTATTATAATAGCATCATTGGAATATGGCAAAATAGAAATTAAATAGCACCACACCTAAAACCAACCACTAGACTGTATTTCAGTTCCAAGCTACATATGCTTCTTTTTCTAATCTCTCTTCAGATTTTCTTTCTTCTCTCCTTTTTCCCTCTCCTCTTTTTCAATTATACCTTTAAATAAAAGCTAAATGACTTACTAGAACCCTTTACAACTTTAATTAAAAGGTAACAAATAAAGAGGGGACACCCAGAAGAAATACCAACTGCTATTTTGACTGACCTCAGAGGTTCACCTTCCGTTTAAAATTTAGGTTGATTCAGACTACAGCTTGGAAGCATAGCAGCAAGATTACTTATGCCCTGGTGGGGGGAAAGAAAAAGAGCATATGTTTACTCTTAAATTATGAAGAGTTACTAGAATAAAAACAAATTCCAAAGATACAACATAGAAGTGTAATCTTCTCCAAATTAATCTGGAGATTTTTCTTCCATTAACTTTATAATGAGATACTACTTACCACTTATAAAGTTAAGGGAAATATGTACATCACAAATATGAAAGCAAAACTTTTTAAAAAATTTTTTCCTCTCAAAATACCTTTTTACTTACTGGAACAATTTATTAATACAAAATAATGTCCAACAACTTAGGTACTGTTATATATGCTGAGAAAAAAGGAACAACAAACATTTGAAAAGAAGTTTCATCCACCTAGTATTAACTTAAATGGCACAAAGAAGTAATAAATGCTTTAATTTAGGTTTTTCGATAAAATTCTAAGTTTAAAAACTAACACCAGCAAGGTGAAAACAATTTGTCCTTCAAATGTTTGCATTTTATTCCCATTAGATTAACAGCTTTTAAAAAGTTGGTAAACAGACAAATCCATTCATCTTTTTATCTTCCGGCTTCTGGCATACAGCAGTCACTGAATACCAACTGAAAAAATGAACTGTCTCTGGCTCCTTCCATTTACTTTTAAAGGTTAATGATAAGGAAATTGTTGTATTTATGAGAACCAAAAAGCTGGTGTAAGCATGGTTTGCTGTGTTTTCCGAAGCTCTAATGGTGTGTCAGAACGCAATGCATGGATTTTTCTGTCCTAGGTTATAAACTCATACAATGTAAGCATTATAACTAGCTCTATTCAGTGCCTCCTAGAGTTGCAAACAGATGTGCATTTAGTAACACCACTTTAATGATGAAAAAAACTGTACTGACTCCCTATCATCATTTCCAATACATATTTACTTCCCAAAAAATCACTATGAAGTTACTTTCACTTACTTACATTTCCTGGTTGTCGTGTATAACTTTTTCAGTTCTCCTTTTTAGTTTCTAACCATCACTTGTAACCTGGACTTCAGAGCACAAGCTCTGGTTCATGATGCCTACCTAAACCATTCCCTAGCTGCATGAACATGGGCAAATTAACCACTCTCTAATTTTCAGTTTTCTCATCTGTAAAACGGAGGACATGTAAGTGTCTACTTCATACACTTCTTGTGAGGATTAAATGAGAAACACATGAAAACTCAGCAAAAGAGCCTTCAAAAATTAATGCTTAATATTGCCATAAAGACACTCTCAGTTATCATTTTTGCTAGCACTCAAGTTTACAACTGGGCGGGGGGGGCAGTGGCATCGGTAATCAAGCCAAGCCATTTTACTCAACTCTTTTTTCTTCTTTAAAAGCAATCTGACACTTAACCAGATTTCATTTTATCTCTGGAAAAATATCTTCCTGTCCCCTACCGCTCAGTATATCATAAATTGAAGCTTTAACTATTAAAAAAAAAAAAAACCTCAAAAGTTTTCTCCACACAAAAAGTTTTTACTTGCATATTTTCAAGAGTTTGATTTGTATTACTTGTAGCCAGTTTTGTTTGTTGAAACCAGTCACTTCTACTTTTACTATGTTTCCCAAGACCTCTTACTCCTCAAGTTTTTACGTAAACTATTCATACACAGTGTTTAATACACCTAGGCTGAGAAAAATACGAAAAAAGATATGTGAAATTTTGAGAGGCAAAACAGAATAAAAATACAGCAAAGAAGGTGACAGTAAAAAGTCAAAGAAGAAGTTAGGAGGTATTTAATAAAATGCTTCAATTAAGTCTGCAGTTGAGAAACTTGACTTGGCTACAGAGGATAAATGCTGAATGAGGAAGAAGGTAAAAATACCCAATAGTCTTTTGGGGAGACAATTTAGCATTACAGTATTTTATCAAAATTGTAAATGCACATCCCTCTGACGTAGCAATTCCACTTTAAGAACTTAAACCACAGGAGTATTCTCATCATACTACCCAAAAACCTGCAGCATGTTTGTAACAGGGAACACCTGTTTAGGGTCACTCAAAGTCAGAAATAAAAGTGAACCATACAGTCGATTGTTAATCAGCCATTACAATGAGAAAGATGGACTTTTATATGCTGACATATACTGATAAATAAACTGCCTTAAGAAGTGAAAAAAACTATGATCCCACTTGAAGTTTTTCAATTAAGAATGCAATTTAGGGGCATTTGGGTGGCTCAGCTGGCTGAGCATCTGCCTTTGGCTCAGTTTATGGTCCCAGGACCCTGGGATGGAGCCCTGAATTGTGCTCCCTGCTTCTCCCTCTCTCTTTGCCCCTCTCCCTTGCTCTCTGTGTCAAATAAATAAACAAAATCTTATTTAAAAAATGCAATTTAGGGGTGCCTGGGGGGCTCAGTCCATTACGCGTCTGCCTTCAGCTCAGTTATGATCTCAGAGTCTGGAGATGGAGCCCTGCATCAGGCTCCCTGCTTACGGGGAGCCTCCTTCTCCCTCTCTCTCCTGCTCCCCTGCTTGTTCTCTTTCTCTCTCAAATAAATAAACAGAATCTTAAAAAAAAAAAAAAAAAAAGGAAAGTAATTTAGGGGCACCTGGGTGGCACAGTTAGTTAGATGTCTGACTCTTGGTTTCCCTCAGGTCGTGATCTCAGAGTCCTGGGATCAAGCCCCACGTGAGGCTCCACACTCAATGCAGAGTCTGCTTAAGATCTCTCTCCATCTGCCCCCTCCCCACCAGACACACACATACTCTATCTCTCTCAAATAAATAACTCTTTAAAAAAAAAAAAAGCGCAATTTAGTATAGAAAATTCCTAAATTACGAAAAACTCTTAAACTGATAAGCTCTAGGAAGTGAAAACAGAGATCAGAAAATGATTATTTCAATCCTTGTGTTCTTTGAATGATTTTACCACAAGTGTGTATTTTTACTTTTTTTAAAGATTTATTTGAGAGCGAGAACTCGAGAGCGAGCAGGGGGAGGAGCAGAGGGAGCAGGATAAGCAGACTCTGCATTGAGGGCAGAGCCCGATGTAAGGCTCAATCCCACACCCAAGAAAGACCATGGCCTGAGCTAAAACCAAGGGCTGGATGCTTAAACGACTGAAACATCCAGATGCCCCATGAGCGTGTTTTTATTTTATATATTTTTTTTCTTTTTTTTTTTAAAGATTTTTATTTATTTGTCAGACAGAGCGAGCAAGGCGAGAGACAGAGAACACAAGTGGGGTTGGGGGCGCGGCAGACAAAGGGAGAAGCAGGATCCCCACTGAGCAAGGAACCTAATGTAGGACTTGATCCGAGAACCCTGGGATCATAACCTGAGCCAAAAGCAGGGGCTTAACTGACTGAGCCACGCAGGTGTCCCAAGTGCGTATTTTAAAAAATAAATCTATAGATGTTTTAAAAGAGACAAAGAATCAAAGGAAGCTGACCAGCACAGTCCAGAGTGACTCTGGCAATAAACATCACACAAGTAATATAATGATGAGACTATGGACAAATTACCTGACTTCTGTCTCATTTTCCTATGAAGGATTTGGAGTAAATTTCTATAATCTAGTCCAAAAAGGGTATCTCTGGTCACGAGAATAAAATGTAGAGTTCTGCTGAATTTTGTAAAAGGACAGATTTTAAGAAAATACTTAGTGTATTCAAATAATTTAATATAAACTTTTATGTATGTTTAAGCATTTAGCACAATGCTTGATAAAGGATTTCATTAAGTATTTCTTGATTAAAGAACATGTCTGGTAAGTGATTTGATAGCAAGGATTTAGAAAACCCACTCTTTATCTTCAACATATAAAACCTTCTTATTCACTAACAAACATAACTGGAAAACAGAAATATGAGGCACATATAGCAATAATAAAAAAATTTATCTTGTAACTCCAGTATTTTTCTTTTTTTTTTTTTTAAAGATTTTATTTATTTACTTGACAGAGATCACAAGTAGGCAGAGAGGCAGGAAGAGAGAGAGGGGGAAGCAGGCTCCCTGCTGAGCAGACCCAGGACCCTGGGATCACGAGCTGAGCCGAAGGCAGCGGCTTTAACCCACTGAGCCACCCAGGTGCCCCGTAACTTCAGTATTTTTCAATGAAGTAACATAGCCCTGTATCTTAACAGCCTCATTGCCTTAAAAATGACATTTACACATTGGTTTAATAATGATTTGGAAGGGTAACTGTTAAAGATGAGTGATAAGTACATTAGGGTTCACTATATTCTACTTTTGTACTATTTGAAAATTTCCAAGATGATAAGTTAAACATGATACAGTATACAGTTACAGAGACTTACACTGAATTTCCTCCTTTTTTTTCTTTCCTCAAAACAAGATCTTCTTGAGGGCAGAGTCTTAAAATTATTTGAATTCTCCATGCTGCTTTGCCCATATTAAGTGGTGAAATACTTTACTCTTTGCTAAAATTTATTTACAAGTACACTAATATTCAATGAAGAAAATAATATTCTGTTACTACTACTCTGATTTTATAACATCAAAAATCAACTCCAATATATCTGTCCTTCCTTTATCCTTAATTTTAACGATCCTTAGGCTCAACTTCTCAAATCTGGAAAATCTGATTACAGATCAGGCAGGCTAGAGGCCTTTCCCTTTATGGGATTAAATTAATCCCATTTATTATGCTATTTTCTTAGAAACAACTGGGATTTGGATCAGATCATCTAAGTTATCACATACAGCTGGAAAAATCTAACTCATGACTATGACAAGTGTTATAGAATGAACTGTGACCCCTTAAAAAGAGAGGTGTAAGTCCTATCCACACTCCCAAAAACTATGAGTGTGACCCTTTCTGGAAACAGGGTCTCTGCAGATGTATTCAAGATGTGTGGTCATACTGGATTAACGCAGGTCCTAATCCAATGATGTTTTTTTTGTTTTTTTTTTTTAAAGATTTTATTTATTTATTTGTCAGAGAGAGAGAGAGGGAGAGAGAGCAAGCACAGGCAGACAGAACGGCAGGCAGAGGCAGAGGGAGAAGCAGGCTCCCTGATGAGCAAGGAGCCCGATGTGGGACTCGATCCCAGGACGCTGGGATCATGACCTGAGCCGAAGGCAGCTGCTTAACCAACTGAGCCACCCAGGCGTCCCTCCAATGATGTTTTTATTAGAAACACAGACACAGGGGCACCTGGGTGGCTCAGTGGGTTAAGCCTCTGCCTTCAGCTCAGGTCATGATCCCAGGGTCCTGGGATCGAGCCCCGCATTGGGCTCTCTGATCAGCGGGGAGCCTGCTTCCCTCTCTCTCTGCCTGCCTCTCTGCCTACTTGTGATTTCTGTCTGTCAAATAAATAAATAAAATCAAAAAAAAAAAAAAAGAAACACAGACACACACAGGGAACACCTTTATGACCACAGAAGCAGGGACTGGAGTGATGTGCCTACAGCCAAGAAAAACCAAGGATGGCTGGGAACCGCCAGAAGCTAGGAGGAGACAAAGAGGCAAGGAAGGATCTTCCCCTACAACAGGGGTGGGGAGCTGGGAGTAGAGCAACCAAGCATGGCCCTGCAGAAACCTTTATTTCAGACTTCTAGCCCAGAGAACTGTGAAAGAATAAATTTCTGCTGTTTTAGGCCACTGTTTCTGGAAATTTGTTACAGTATCTCTAAGAAATGAATACAACCAGAAATGATCATTTATCTTATCCATTTCTTAGATGATTCTACATTAGAATATTCATTGCTCTAAGGCTCTTAAAATTACTTGTTTAAAGGACATCATTAATATTTGCAGAAGTCCTCTCACAGACTGACAAAGATGAATGAGGATAAAAATGCAGTGTTTGTTGTAAAGCACTTAACGCATCAAAAAAATAAATAAGGGGCACCTGGGTGGCTCAGTCGGTCAAGCATCAACTCTTGATCTCAGCTCAGGTCATGACCTCAGGATTGTGAGATGGAACTCCACATTAGGGTCCACATGGGGCATGGAGCCTACTTAAGATTCTTCCCCTCTCCTTCTGCCCCTCCTTTCTGTGTGTATGTGTGTGTGGGGGGTGCACTTAAGCATCAACTGCAAAATCAGAGATACAGAAACACATCCATGCTTTTGATGCATATGGTGAAATGTTTCTCACATCACATACACAGTGTAAAAACCATAAAATGCAACAAACCTCTTCTCCCCTGCCATTTCAGCCCTACATACCAGGTGACCGGACCTCAAAGTAAAAAAAAAAATCATTTTTCAATTCAGGTTAGGTGGAAATGGCCCCAGTAAAGGCTAACCTTATAATCATTTGAAATAAAGTAAAAAACAAACTTTTGCTCCTTGATGGGACATACATTTTACTATATATTGAAATACTTTGCAGCTTACAGATCAAAAGAGGCACTCAAAATTTTGGAGAATTGGATAGTTTGGTTACAGATATGGGAAAAAAAAGTGATAATTAAAAAAATAAACATACAGAGAGCAAGCAAGCCTAAAGGAAACAACACCCCAGTAGCAGAGAGCACACTTATCTTGGTTCTAATACAAGTCTCCAACAAAAGGAATCCAAATCCTTAAGAGAAATAAATGATTCTTCAGACTGAGATTAAAAAAATATATATACAAAATGAGTCTGGAATACCTTACAGTGCCAAGAAGAAAGTGCTAAAAAAAAATTTTTTTAAATGAAAATATTAAAAGGATGGAGGCAGGTCACAGTAGACAACTGAAAGAGCTCCCAATGTCCAAAGCTGGAACAATTTGAGCAACAAAATAAAGTAACATTGGATTATAACCAATTATGACATAAATATCTCATGTGTCCATACTAATATAAATAAATGATATAGTAAATTGGCAGGGACAGACAAATCTCCCATGCAGAAGAATTCCAAGTAAATTACACAGATACTCCACCCTAAAGGACGGGGAATGTAACTCTCTAACCCTCAAATGTATACTGTGCAAAAAGACTTCCTTCTAATGAGTACAGTGAGGAAAGGAGATGGATAGGGAAGAGTAATTTTACAGTGGAGAAACTTGACATACACTAAGCAGATGATCAAGGTCAAAAACGTGATAAATCCCATTCATATTACATACCCTTGATAGGATGTGCTGAAAAAGGCACTGCTCTTCTGCGATCTTCCTCTTCAAAACCCCTACCGCCAGTCTTACCATGAGAAAAACATCAGACAAATTCCAGTAGGAGGGCACCCTACAATATACCTGACCAGTAATCCTCAAAACTGTCACGGTCACTAAATTAGTTTGCTAGGGCTGCCGTAACAAAGTACCACACACTAGGTAGCTTAAAGAACAGACATTTATTTCCTCATAGTTCTGGAGGCTAGAAGTCCAAGATAAAAATGTCCACAGGTTTCGTTTAAAGGCCTCTCTCTCTGGCTTATTATGGCTGTCTTCTATATTTTTATATGTACGGTCGTCCCTCTGTATCCTAATCTCTTCTTATAAGGGACACCAGTCATTAGGGATCAGGGCCTACCCTAATGACTTCATTTTACTTCTTTAAAGACACTATCTGCACATATGGTTACTTCTGAGGTACTGACATCAACATATGAATTTTGGAGGGACAAAATTCAGCCTATAACAGTCATCAAAAACTAAGAAAGCCTGAAAACTGTCACAACCAAAAGAAGGACACATGACAACTAAATATCACATGGTATCCTAAACGGAATCCTGGGACAGAAAAAAATATTAGGTTAAAACTCAGGATATATCAATAAACTAGAGACTTTTTCTAATAATAATGTGTCAATATTAGTCCACTAATTGTAACAAACATATCATACCGATTTATAATAAAGAAACTGTGTGTAAGGCGGGGGTGTTTATATAGGAACTCTGTGCCATCTGCTCACTTTTTCTGTAACTCAAAAAAGGTTTTTTAAAAAAAAACTATTAATAAGTATGTTTAAAATACAGTCTCATGAACATCTTCAAAGAACCTGTTTACTGTTACTACCCCTAGAGCCCCACAAGATAGTCCTACAGGTGAATCTTTTGTGTCCAATTTTTGTTTTTTTGCTTTGCTGCACTCGTCACAAATTTCAAGTTTATTTTGCTCTTCTATGAATTAGCCATCAACAATCAAAATCTGTCGAGTGCCGGTGATGTTCAGATAATAATATTCACTACAAAATAATAAAATTGAAATGTTGGATACTACTCTTTCCCTCGTGGACCTTAAGACATGATGTCCATGACCGGATAAAAAACACAACAAAAATACAAACTAGGAAATGAAGTTGTAGTTAACTGGACGCATTTGCCCTTGGCTGCGCCTGCGTACTCGGAACTGCACAGCGCAAAAGGTCCAGGTCCGGGCCCCCGCCTCCTCCGCCTCCTCCGCCCCCTTGTACCCCCTCCCCATAAGGGGGTTCCCACTGCGCACGCGCAGTGCTTAACGGCCGGTCAGGAGCCCAACAATTAGTCCCTTCTCATCCAAGAGAAAACTCTCATAGTTAGAGCAAGGGGTCGTAAACATTCTCTTCAGTAACAACATTTCCTTTTCCCTGAGAGCATAGCTCTGACTCACCAAGTCGGGCGGACACCGCCGCTTTAAGGAGATGAGGTTCCAGCGGTCGCGCCAAGCAGCGTACGCAGCCTACGTGTTTAAGTTATGCTAGCTTCGCCACGGAAGCCAAGAAGGCTGTAATGGCCTGCCAAGTCCCCACGCGTAATCGTTCTCCACCACTTACTCACTCTAATTCCGGAACACCGTTGTCGCCACCGTTCCTGTAATACCTCTCCAAACCTTTCGATGCTTCTACTTCTTCACGAACAAGACAAGATGGCGCCCGATTGGTTGCACCCGGAAGTGAATAATAATAACATCCGCTTGTCATCTGAAGCCATATTGTCCCCCATCCTGGTCTTTGAGCACGTGACTATGTCTAGTTAACCTGCCTCGACGCCATTTTTGTTTTGGGCAAAGCTCTTGGGACTTCGTAGTCGGCACCGTGCAAGTGTCTTAACATTCCTGTCGGATACCTTTTAATTGAGTCATGCTGAGCCCATTTTCATCTTTACAATGGCCAGAAAGCCAGGAGCCCAAGTATTCGGTAGAGAACGCTCTCGATTTTTTTTTTTTTTTTTTTTTTACTTTAGCAACGTGATTTCCTTCAAGGGTAAGTACGTTCCCCGCCAGGAACGTTTTCGCTTCGGAAAAGGGCGGGGGGGGGGGGCTGAATTCGCGGCGCTACTTTCACACTACGGAGAGGCCTCAGGGTCAAACTGAACCAACTCCAGCGGGTTGCTCAGTACGCCCACAGCGGCATTTTTCTGCTGGAACATCTGGAATACTCCAGGCTTGGGCCTTAACAGAGCGTCGCTGACGGCTCAACCTCAGGAAGACCGGATGTTAGTGAAATGGCCAGTCTGTCTATATGGTAGCGACTTCAGAGACCTTAACTAAACCCGCGGCGACTGCGCTCTTTGTTAACCCCTAAACGTCGCGCCCCCTTCCGGCAACATTTGCTCAACTCTACGTCACCCAGTTGGTCCCGATATTTCGTTCTTTACCCGTGACCCTTAGGGAGAAGTGGGGAAATCAGTTTCTGTTCTGTTACTCCCGTTCTCTCGACTACAAGATGGCCTCCCGAAAGGACTTTTGCGATGCAGTTCCTCGAATGGAATACTTCGATTGCACGGTGTGTTAATGCGAACGACGTTAAAATATCAAAAGTATCTATTTCCGGGCTAGCACTACAAGTTACAAGGAACACAAAATTATTCCGAAGATACGGTATTTATTTTCAACTAAATCTTGGAAAATGCCTTTCTAAAGAGTAATAGGAAACTTTTGCGTGACTGAAGGGTGAACCAAGTTACTGAATTGTGCAAAAAAGGGGGGGGCATATTACAATAGAAATAAAATTAAGTGCATCTAGTTGGATAAAGAAGATAAATATAGATGTGAGGATATAGATGTCAGTTGCATGAAATTCAGTCTTCCTTAATAAAACACTTGAAACCTTGATACTCCTGGATGAGCATTAGAAGAAAGTCCTCAGCTAAAGATGTGCTAATCCTCAAATCCAAGTGGCCTTCGAAATAAAATTTTATCTTGGGAGAAACCCTTACAAATTACACCTGGCAATACCATAATGTGAGTGGAGAAAAGTTTCATTCGTTTAGCCTTTTTCCCTAATTTCCAATTAGCACAAAAAAGACTATACAACAGTCTAATAGATTTTTTAAATCACTCGTGGGGGGAAACATCGGACATATACCACATTTTACCAGTGGTTATCTCTAATTTTGGTCTGTGATTTTATTTTCCAGGTTTTTTTTTTTTTTTTTTTTTTTTTTGCAAAGTGTCTGATTTTCCAATTTGTTTCTGAGATTTTTTTTTTTTTCCAGATTATTTGAGATTGAGAGAGCGGGCGCAGTCACTCGTATGCATGCATGAGTGAGGGGAGGGGCCGAGGTGAGAGACAATCTCAAGAAGACTCTCCACTGAGCACAGAGCAGGACTAGGAGCTGATTTCTGGACCCCAAGATCATGACCTGAGCCAAAGTCAGACACTTCACTTACTGAGCTACCCAGGCACACCTCTGAGAAACATTAGAATTAGAGAAAGTGGTCTGTGAAACCTGATCCCCCTACTGAAACTTTTGCATGTTCCTACTGACCTCGTATAATCATATTGTAATTCTTTGTTGATTTCCCTAGTAGAGTTGAAGCAATTTTCTGGTAGTTATCCCGGCCCTATCTCTATTCTCCAACCAGTCAGCATACTGTGTATCATATAAGAGTTTTTCCATTTGTCAGATGACTGAAGATTTTGAACAACCCAATATAGGCCATTAATTTTGGAAACCCCTTGCCAAATGGAGATAATTATTAAATAACTCGTTTTGTTCCTTGTACCAACTTAAGACACTTTCAGCAATCACTGATTGCCAAATCAAGAACTGTATTTTTTAAAAGATTTTATTTTTTTGACTGAGCGTGTGTAAGCAGAGGGAACAGCAGAGGAGGAGGAAGAAATAGGCTCTCTGCATGTAGGACTTGATCCCAGGACTCTGAGATCATGACCTGAGCTGAAAGCAGTCGCTTAACCAACTGAGCCACCCAGGCACCCCAGGAAATGAATTTTATAGTCCCATTTCCCTTTCCCTGACTTATCAGCTAGGATTTCCCTGTAATGTTAGGTAGTATCTGAAGGAAACGTCACACACATACACGTATTTCATCCCCAAACTTTCTCAGAATGTTTTTGTATTAAAGTGTCTAAAGAGTGATCATGTACATTATCTGCTACAGTCTGGTCATTCTGCATTTTGATCAGAAAGTACTGAAGCAGCCACCATCTTAGCAGTATTGGTAATCTGCTATTTATGACTAACAGATTAGCAGACTCTGTCAATTAAATTTTTATTAACTTTCCCTGTTTGCAGTGTTTGAAGTAGAAAATTCAAAGGGAGGGTATGTTCAAGTTAGTATTTTGCATTGCTGTGGAATCAAGTTAGCCTCAAGGTTAAATGGGAAAAAAAGTTAAATGAGATGTGGTAAAGATACAGAATTTGGAAGTATTCCTATCATTCAAGATGAATCTTTATACTGTTAAGTTCCATATATCATCCATCTTAACATTGAAAAATAAAATTCTTTAAAGCTGTGGTGTGTGTGTGTGTGTGTGTGTGTGTGTATAAGAATATTATTTAGCCTTGAAAAGGAATGAAATTCTGGTATATGCCGCCACATGGATGAACTCTGGAAAGATTTTGCTAATGAAACAAGACAGCCCATGGGAGACTTACCCTTTCTTACCCATCCTATCTATCCCTCTTTGCAGTTAGGCAGGACCATGTGACTACTTCTGGCCGGTGGGTTGTGAGCGACACATTCAAGATGAATTAAATTGCTGGTGCAAGACTGTTTAGTGCTCTCTTCCCCTGCTAGAGTGGGGAGACCTGGTGTTAAAATGATAGAAGTACAACATAAAAGCCTGGATTACAAAGTCATCAATTGGAAAATAGTTGGCTACGAAGATTGCCCAGATTCACAAGGGGACATTGGGTGAGGAAGAAATAAACTTTTGTTGTATTAAACCACTGGGCTGTGGAGTTATTTGTTACTGCAGCAAAAACAAGGCTGTCCTAATGCATATTGGAATGCAAATGTTTTGGATTTCTGCTTGAGAGCAACTTTAAAAAATGTATGAAAATGGCTTCGGTTGAGGGGGAGTCCATGGACCTCTGAAATTACATACAAAAATCTGGGTTGTATATTTTTCTGAGACTACATAACTGTCAAGATATCCCTTCCCAACTTCTACATTGTCATTAGCAAGAGTGAAGAGGGGTCCAGAATTAAAACCCTCCTCTTCCCCCAACTCACAACTTCAATAAATACTTTTTTATATTAGTGAACAAATAATAGATGGTCTATAACTTTCATCATAATCTCAAAGAGCTTCATGACCCAAAAGAGCTTAAATCCAAACAGGGAGACAAAATATTTCCTAAGGAATAATCCTGTCTAAATAATCCAAATATTTTGAGAAACATCTGAAAAGAGGAAGATTCACCCTTGGTAGATACTGAAATTTGAGTGAAAGTGACCTGTAATATCTTTTGTTCTGAAATAATGAATTTCTGAAATGCAAAGGATAGTTTGAATATAGCTAGGTAAGCAAATACAGTGTTGATAAATATTATCAATAATGTGCATTGCAAAAACTCCAGGACCAACTGCGAAACAAAGAAAAAATTTAATATTTATTATGCATTTTTATACAGTAACATCAAAATAGTGCTCAATAAGTTATATAGCTATTTTCTAAAAACACTGCAAAAAAGATAAAATAGTAGGAATGGTATATAACCAGCATTACTCAAAATTAAAAATACAGTCCTCTATCTTTTAAACATTTGAATTGACGATTCCTACATGAACCAAAACATTTTAAATATCTAAAAATCATCTTTCTTAATGGACTAGATAATATATAAAGGCTCAATTTTATTGCACATATTTGGTTTAGGCTTATTTGATCAGATAACATGCAAATTATGAATATGAATTTAGAAGTAAGCAGAATGGTATTTTGTACTATAAAAATTGGGTGAAAGTGATACAGTTCACAGCTTAATTTTTAGGAAATTTTATTCAGCTGTTGTATAAAAATCACTAAAATCATCGTGCATGCGAGCTAAGAGCTATTATATATAGTAAAATAGCTCTGTTGGAGCATTTAAAATAAGAAAACAGGAATCAACTCCTCTTAGAACTGACACCACTACCACCCTCCTTGCCACCCAAAAAGGTGGTTTTCACATCTGGTTTAAAAACATTAAATAACAAAGTCTTAAATACAGAAATATATTTGGTTATGCCAAAAGTATTCCCATAATTGACACATAATCAAAATTTTATCATTTTAAATAGGAAAAAACAGAGGAAACAGGTTAGACATACCCTGTAAACCAGTTTCTAAATACAGCTAGTGAAACTTCTGTTTTACTTCTTAAACTCCCTTGGCCAAGCACAACGGTAGTTGTTTCAAGAATCTGTAAACATTTCTCACTTATTTGTATGGTTTCCTGAGGTCATCTAGAAACTATTGTTATTCTAGCAGCTTCACAATTTAGTACCCCTGCAAATGTACTTTCAAAATGTTCAGAATAAACAAGAAATTAAATGTAGGCCCATGTGTAACTTAACATACTTTCCCTATTACAAATCTATCTTTAGGAAATTCTTAGGTATCAAAATCAAATTTGTTCCATTTACCAGCAGACCCTGAAAAATATTCAGAAACTCTAGGCCATAAAAAAGTA